CCGCCATACCAGCCAGCCCGTCCAATCGTCGATGGTCTGATGCCGTTGCTTATACGAAGAGCGTGTCTTACAGGTGCGACAGACATTGTCCTCCGCGAAGCTCTTCTCCATCGTCAGTAATGTCGTCGTCGTCGATCAACCGCGAGTCGCGTTCGGGATTATCACTATCTGGACTATCAGGGGTGCCATTCTTGGATATCCAGACTGACGTGGACACAGCAATTTTAGCAACGTCCCGCGATTCAGCATTCAGCCTGTCACCTTCGCGCTCAGCCCTTTCCCCTGATCGTCCGTCTTCAGGGATGACCCCAGCACTCGATATTCGAAACGAGTTTCAGCCCTTCGCTAACGGGGGCAATGCGCCAATCATCCGAACTCTTCCAAAAACGATCACAACGGCCAAGGCCTTTCGTCCCATTGATGTTCAATGCATCTGGCATTCCCCAGAGGGCCCATTGCAAGGAATTCCCGCCGTTTGCGCTGCCAGCCAAACAGCTCCGTTTAAACCATTTGCCTCTGAGAGTCAAAGATTAACCTTAGAGAGAGTGCTTGTTTCTCTTACATCGAAACAGTTGTTTGCTGTCATGTATCAGACGAAAGCCAAGAAGAGTCTTGAGCCCTTCAACACATATCTCGGATCCCTCTTGATATCACACGTACATTGCGAAAGCAAGAGGCATTTGCCCAATGCCCAACGCTGGAGTGATTGCTCTGCTTGGTGCTCATCTTAGACCGGCTTGCCATCACGCAGACAAATAAGTGCTGTGATATTGACTGGCCGTTGTTAATGACGAAACGGACTTTATTCCGCGTGCGACGTCGCTCGTCAAGCCATACCACGTAACACTTCCATCGCGCCCCGTCTGACAGCCAGTGCGACCCGCGTCATTTGAATGACAGTCCGGCCGGCTTCCCACCCGGCAAGCAACATCCGCCCAACATCGTGCCCACCAGTTGTCCTGCACAATGCCCTTGGCATTCGAGATGACTTTTGGTAATCTTCATCAACGAGGTCCATTCAGGGGATTCAACGTCTGGAGGGAAGTGGCCTTTGGCATTTGCGGAGGAATTGCTTCTCGACAGATACCCAAATTTGCGCGGCACTTTTCGGCCGATTGCGCCGCACTTCAGTCTTACGGCAGCAATAGCCTGAGGACCCGGGGTTTCGAAGTGATTGAGCTGCATCATCACCCTTTCTGACCGCCGCCAGTCTCAGGCGACCAGCCTGACGTGAAGTGGCTAGTGCCCGGAGCTACCACTCCATGGGATCATCGTAGCTCAGACATGCATTGTGTGATCTCCATGGCGAACTCGACTCTAAACAGAAACGACCCGTTGCGCCGTGTTGGGAGTGGCTGTGGTTCGGAGGGCGGATAATGCTTTCATGCGATGGGGCTGACGACCTCGTTCAGTGCGAAGGGTTTCCCCGCGACTCGCGAGAGATTCTCCAGACAGGTGCTCGGGATGAGCGAGGCAATTTGAGAATCGAGATGTGACAGCAGCGATGATCCCACACGGATGAAATTGTTTACCCCTTTTTTACTTTCGGCGCCAGCCGTAAAATCTCATGGGCCGTGCGAAGGGCAGCATCGAGTCTTAACACCGATGATGATAACGCCGAGAGAAAGATTGGTGCCTGAGAAATGTTGCGACATCTCAGGCCGAAACTCAAGCCTCTGTAAGCCACAGACCCCCAAGCTTCAGCCACAGTGCCACATGCCACCTACGTCCACACGACACCGCAATCAGCCAGGCCCGATCCAGGGGACAAGGGCGAGACAATCGAAGTCTAGAAACAATCCGAAAACGATGCATTGAGCCCTCCTTGACGCCCTCACGACCTCACGAAATTGATGACATGAACGATTGTACCTCGAACACTTCCAGCACGTCAAGATGGATGATCTCTCGGGATTGGACTGGTCGTCGTCGTCGGCCAGCAAGCCTGGCAACAAGGCGCCGCCGATGAACCCCTCAGGCGCCAACTACTTTGGCTCCATGCCCATGCGACAGACGACGGCCTCGACGTCATCTCCGTTCCCCTCCGGCCGCAACACGCCATTGTCCGCCCAAGGTTCCGGAGCTGTCCCCGCCGCAGCTCAACCCCCGGCCGCGAAGCTGGCTGGCGACAGCTTCAGCAACTTGATGAACTTCGCCGGCGGCCCGCCAAAATCGACCGCGAACCTGAGCTTGCGCGAGCAGCAGCAGCGACTCGAGGCCGAGAAGAGAAAGAAGGAGGAGGAGCGAAGGAAGCAGGCGCAGGCGCAGTTCGGAGGAGGATTCCTAGACACTCTCGGCTCGGGCTCCGTGTCACGGACTACGTCACCGGGCATCCTGTCCCCTGGCTCGTCTACCGGCAAGAAGGCCAGCGACGACGACGACCTTTTTGCGGCGTTCAACGCGGATACAAAGGTTGACAATGCCAGTCACTACCCACCGCCGCCTCAAAAGAGCCCCTCGCCCGCACTGGCGCAAACGCCTGCGCTGGATCTAAGCAACCCGAGCGCGTGGGACAAGCCTGCTGCTCCTGCAAACAATGGTGGCTTCGGAGACGATGATGACCCGTTCGGATTGAACCAGCTGAAGCCCAAGGCTGCTTCGCCCGCTCCGCCCCAACCTGCCGACGACGACGATTTCCTCGGTGACCTGGGCCGGCCTGTGGAGGAGGTCCGTCGCAAGCAGCCACCGCCTCCCGAATCCAAGCAGCCCGAACCCGGAAAGCCGATTGAGGAGTCTGATTCCAGCTCCGACGATGAGCAGCCCGCCCCGCGCGGCGAGATGGCCGAGTTTGATCAGGCTGTTGCCCAGCTTGTGGACTATGGCTTCACCCCTGAGAACGCAAGGCGGGGTCTGACGGAGAGTGGCGCGGGGTTGAATGTGCAGGCGGCGGCCAACTGGCTTCTGGATGACGCCCATCGCCAGGCCAAGGCCAAAGCCCAGGGAAAAGACCCCGCGGCAGCGTCCAGAAGAGGACGGGAGGACGGAAGGCATGATAGTCAGCGGAGAGCCGACACACGGTCGCCGGCCAGCGGTGAACCAGACTTCTCCAAGACTGCCGCTGCTGTGGGCAGCAGTCTGTTCAAGACTGCCAACTCCCTCTGGAAAACCGGCAAGAAACAGATGCAGCAGGCTGTCGCGGAGTTCAACCAGGAGGGAGGCGACCCGAACCAGCCCAAGTGGATGCGCTCCGCGCAGCAAGACCGTACTCAGGCTCCCGAGAAGCGACGCGTGGAAGCTACGGACGAGGCTATGATGTTGGAGTCCGGTGGCCGTCCACCCAGGAAAGCTGGCCAGTCGTCGCAGTCATCGAGACCGGAGCCACCTCACCGAACTGCTTCTCCAAGGGACTTCTCCCCCGCAACCTCGGCACCGTCGAGCGGCAGAGGTACTCCAGTTCCGAAGTGGCAGCAGCAGGCTGGTCCAGCGGTGCCTGATTCGAGAACGCGCGCAAGTAAGCTAGCTATGGCAGATGACAGTGCGTCTTCGTATGTTAGTCCTCACAGGAGGAAGAAGGCTACTCCCCAGCCTGAAGAAGCACCGCCAAAGCAGGAGGAGGCGGATCTGCTGTTCAACTCCCAAGCCCCAGCATCAAGACCCGTTCAGTCGCAGCCGAAGCCACAGCAGCAGCGCCCCGCGCAACCCTCGCAGCCTGCCCCGGCACCCAGGCGCCCCCCTTCGCCCAAGCCAGCTCCCCGGCCTGCGCGCCAGATCCCTCCCATTACTCCAGCAGCCATACAGCAATCCACGAAACACCGCCTCGATGGAACAGCTCACTTCAAGCGTGGTGACTATGCCGCTGCTCATTCCTCTTACTCGTCGTCCTTGTCTGCCATACCAGCATCTCACCCCTTGGCGATCGTCATCCTCACCAACCGTGCCTTGACGGCCCTCAAGACGGGCGAGCCGAAACAAGCTGTCGAAGACGCTGACTCCGCGCTCAAGATCATCGGACCCGGCGGCGGCCAGGGCGAACAGGTGTCCGTCGTGGGCGATAACGGCGGCGACGAGAAGCGCGACATGCGCGACCTGTACGGCAAGGCGCTCAGCCGCAAGGCCGAGGCCCTCGAGCAGATGGAGCGCTGGGGCGACGCGCACGCCGTGTGGTCGACCTGCGTCAAGAACGGCGTCGGCGGCGCCACAGCCATCTCCGGCCGCCAACGCTGCCAGAACGCCCTGGCGCCGAAGCCGAAACCGAAGCCCAGGCCCGCTGCTGCTCCTGCGCGGCCCCGTCCGGCGGCTACCCCGGCCAAGAGCTCTGAGGCGGTTGACCGGCTGCGTAAGCAGAACCAGGCGGCCGCTGCGGAGGACGATGAGAAGTTTGCGCTGTCAGAGAAGGTCGATGCTCAGATTGCGGCGTGGAGGGACGGCAAAAGGGATAACTTGCGCGCGCTTATCGGCAGCTTGGACCAGGTGCTCTGGGAGGGCAGTGGATGGAAGAAGGTGGGATTGCACGAGCTCGTCATGGCAAACAAGGTCAAGATCAACTACATGAAGGCCATTGCCAAGTGCCATCCCGACAAGGTATGCCGCATTCTGTTTCGAGCTTGCTAAGGAGTTGATATACTAATTGCGTGTGCGCAGCTTCCCCAAGACGCCAGCACAGAGGTCAGGCTCATCGCAGCGACGGTGTTTGCGACCCTGAACGAGAGCTGGGACAAGTTCAAGTCCGAGAACGGGCTGTAACGTGGAGCATATTCATCATCATCACGTAGCTGTCATCTTTAGCGCGACATCTGCCCACGGCAACAGGAACGCGTGGACTCCTTCTCCCTGCCGTAATTAAAGCATGAAACATAGAAGTGAACAAAGCGAATATTTCGATTCCCCAAACGCCGTGCTATGCAAAGTAGTACTAGCTTTCCTCTACCAGATGTCTACGCCCTCTGTGACCAGATTAAACCCCCTCTTCTCGGCTGAGCACCTTCCCCTCTTCCGCGGATCCACTCGTAGTCTTATGTAGCCTCCCGCCATAGATACAGCGGCACCTCGGGTTTTGAATATTACAAACCCAGAGAGCGCCTGACGCCGTCGCGGACCTTTTGCTCGTACTCTCCGCGGCGCTCACGCCACATCTTGGCGGCCTCGACGTTGGCGGGGCTCTCGTCGTTGGGCTCGGCGAGCATGCTCATGACGGAGATGAGGATCTTCTCGACGGACTGGATGGGGGACCAGCGCTCGGAGGCGTGCTCGTAGTGGTTCGGGTCGTCGCCGGGCGGGTGGAGGATGGAGATGCAGACGAGGCCGCTGGGGTAGACTTTGCGAGGTTAGCTGCCGTCCATCATTGTGTTGCGTCGTGGTCCGGAGAAGGAAGGACGAGGAAGTAGACGAGGATGTGATGCGACTCACTGTTGGGGTGCCACATGTCGACGAGGAACTTCATCGTCGGCGGGGCGAGGGGGTAGTCCTTGGGGAACTTGAGCTCGGCGGGGAAGACGCCGCCCTCGAAGGGGGTGCCCTCGGGGCCCTGGATCAGGGCCTCCCACTGGAGGAGGTCGTCCTCGGAGACGGGGCCAGCGGTGATGCCCTCCGGCGGGTTGTTCGTCAGGGCGCGGTATTCCTGGAGGAGGCGGCGGTGGGCGGTTGATTGGGCCATTGTGTCCGCGGATGAGCCGGGGGAGGGTGGCGGCGGTGTGGTGTGGTGTCGCAACGAGGAATGAAGGGAGAAAGAGCCGTTGAGGAAGGGGTCTGGTCGTGTAGAGAGGTGTGTTTGCGTGGAGATTATGCCGGGCCTTTTATGGGTTTGAAGACACCGTTCGACTTACACAATCGTCGGGATGGGTGCTGTTGTCATGGAGTGAGCGATTGTCGGTGCGTCGGCAGCTGGGAGGTTGGCGGGGGTGGGCCCCCGTGGCTCCAGGTTCGGTGCTAACAGCAGCAGTTGGCACGTAATTCCCCGAGGTTTTGCCCCCCGTCGATGCGCGTGCAATCGGAGCTTGGGTCGGGAGCCGCTGCTGCGAAGCATTTTTGGAGCTTTGTCCACCACAACTGCACCTTTTTCTGCCCTGGGCCGACCTCACCCGTTTATCCCGGCAGCAACCTCCCAACGCAACCTCTTTTCTGAGGGAAAAGTTGCACCACACAGGCAGGGTAAAGACACATTCACATACCTTTACCCTATGCCTCCCACGAAATGCCACCACGAGTGTCACTGAGGCCAATCGCCGGCCGGGCGGCTTCCCTCGCCGCAGGCAAGCAGCAGCCCTCAGCGCCCGCAGTATGCCTGTTCTGCTCGCTCTCCACAGCTCCTCCGACACCCTCACGACGCACCACCAGTAACACTAGGCGAGGACCCTCGAAGCAGCGCCGGTACTTCCAATCCTCCACCCACGCGATCCACTCCTCGGCAAGCAGCAGCGGCGCCGCCGCACAGAATGCGCGGTCGGAGCTGATCGATGTCCTGCTCGAGCTGCAGAAGCACGCCGTCAACCACGTCAACCTGTCCCGTCTGCAACTCGCGCTGCAGGGCCTGCGCCAGGAACCCGGGCACGAGAACGTGCGCGTCGCGATCCTCGCTCTGGCAGACGGCGCCGGCGCTGAGCCGGGGAAGACGGCAAGGGAGCTCTTGAGGGTGCTGCTCGCGGACCCGCTGGGCGACGAGGCGGAGTGGGAGAGGGCCGTGAAGGGCCATGACACGACGCAGCCGCTTGTCGTGCGGGTCGCCGAGGCCAAGGGCGACGAGGGGAAGGGCACTACGCTGACGATATCCAAGACGAATCTGCTGCACGAGCTAGATGTGTCATCGCCTGCGCTGAATGGGTGCGGGGTGGAGCTGCTGCTGATGGAGGTGAATCCCCTGTCTGCGGCGGCGGCGGCGGCTGGGCAGGCGGCGGCGGTGATGGATGTGGAGCAGGCTGTTTTGGTGCCGACTGTTGATATCCAGTCGAGCTCGGGGCGGTATACCCCTGTGACTACGCCGGTGCACAAGGCTATTGTCGTATCGGAGGGGATCATGGGCGCTGCGGCGGTGGCGGCGTTGCCGTTGGCGGAGTACCGTGATTCCGTCCTCGCGGCGGTCAACCTGCCAAAGTACCCGGTCGAGGAGGGCGAACAACTTGCGTTCCAGCCCATTGACGTGACTGTTGGCAGCAAGGGCCTCGATCGTATCCGTGAGAACATTGCGCACGCGATGGAGTATGAGCGGGCGTGGTACAAGAGTAATGTGCCCGCCATTGTCGAGTGGCTCAAGGCGGGGGTAGAGAACAACGCGGGAGGGGCTACGAAGCCCATTGTCAAGACGCACATCGCCTCTCTACTGCGCAATGCACTGGCGGAGATCGAGGCCGAGCAGGCACGCCTGACGTCTGGACGGCTATCGGCAGAAGTTGCTTCGCCCAAGTTGGCGGTTATGAACGAGCGTCTGGCAGAGTGGTCACAATTCGCGCACGAGGAGCTGCAGCAGCAGCTCGACCTCGCGTTCGCAGGGGCAAGGTGGCGCAAGCTGGGCTGGTGGAAGCTCTTCTGGCGGGTAGACGACGTCGGAGTCCTCACTTCCGACATGCTCAACCAGCGCTTCCTCCCTGGCGCCGAGCGCGAACTCGTCTTCCTCGCTGGCCGCATCGCCGAGTCCGGCGTCGTGCCCGCCCTCGAGGCGCCCACATACACCCAACCAACATCCGAACTGCAACCGCAGCCGGAAACCAAGACAATCACGAAAATCACAAGCCGCACGCCAAAGTGGCCAACGCATATCTCCTTCACCCGCCGCTACCTCCACGAGGAGACCGTTCCCGCACTGCAGGCCCTCGCGCAGAAGCTCGTGCTGCAGGCGTCGAGCACCTCGGCGCTGACGGGCGCGCTCGCAGGTCTGCTCTACGTGTCGCAGTATGCAGGGTCGATCTACGAGGCGGGCGCCGTGGCGGCGCTCGGCATCATGTGGAGCCTGCGCAACCTCCAGAAGAAGTGGGAGACGGCGCGGACCTACTGGGAGGGCGAGGTGCGCGAGGAGGGCCGCAAGGCGGTTAGGGCGGTCGAGCAGAGCGTTGTCGAGTCGCTGGACACGCCGAGGGATACGCCGATCGAGGGCGAGGAGGAGCTGCGCAAGGCCAAGGAGCTGGTGGAGAAGGCCGAGGACGCGCTGAAGCGTCTCGAGTAAGGAATGGCTCTTGGTTTTGCGATCACGTTGTACCATCATCTGTATAATGTATAAAACACAAAAGTCACCATAGACAAATCACAACAAAAGCTCATCCAAATTTCATGACACGACTATGCTCCAACACGGTTAGGATTGAGCCTCTTTTGGAGGATCGGCAAGAGTGTTACCTCTTTTTGGCATTGATATTCCGGCATTGACTCTCTCATCTTAGCTGGTCTGTCAGCGGATTTTGTAGCTTGGAGTTTCGACAACGGCTCAAGAGAGTGAGGCCTACCCTAGCAAACCGCTGTATCCCTCTTCTAGAAAGCATATGGTTGAATGGTATCGTTACTTCTCCTGACGTCATCCCCTATATAATCACTCTTGCGTAGCCCCTTATTCAGAACCCAGAAACCGTAAAACGCCGTGGACTTTTTTCTCTTCGAGATTGGTGTGTTGGAGTTCCGCCCGCTTTTCCTTAGCTCAGACTGCCTCGCCTTGCCTCTTGTCGAATCAAGCGTGGTTCGGTACGCGTGTTTTCATGTGCGTTGAGTAGGAGCGCCATCGGCAGCGCCAGATCGTCGCTGGATCCCTCGAACATGTCTACCGCTAGAATCCTGCAATATAGCCACCAGGAAGTCCGTCAAACCCAAAAAGGTTCTCCTTTTTACCTGCCTCCACGACCACTAGCGCGGGCCCTGCTGACGGTTGCGCGACCACGGGCCATGCCGACACCGCGGCCGCGGACGTTGCGGGAGCGGAACATGGGTGCGTTGCGGAGCATGTCGGGGACGATGAAGAAGCGGACGTGGGAGCCGCGGATGTAGACCTGGTCGAGATGGGAGACGCGGCCGTCGCGGGCGGTGACGGTGATGTCCTTGAGCTGGACGTTCATGTTGTCCTCGGCTGGAGTGCGGTGGGATGTTAGCATTTGGGTCCTGCACATGGAGGATGGTATGATGGGGGAGGAATTACCTTCCAGGAGCTTGCCGCGGTAGGTCTGGCCCGAGGTGATTTCGAGGGTGACGATGTGGCCCTGTTCCGCGCGCTGGGTTAGCTATGCAGTTCCCTCTTTCTGTGGGGGTAAGGGAAGCAATATACCTGAGCCTCGTTGAGGAGCTTGATGGGGATGCCGATTGTGGAAGTCATTGTTGCGGTCGGGAGAGGGGTGAAGCTGTTGTGGGGGTTGGTGGATTGGGAGGTCGGCTAGGCAGCTTGTCGCGATCGCGCGGGTGTTTGGTGGTGGAAGGATAAAATGTGAGGCCCGCGGTTTGGGGGATAGCTGGCGTCTTGGTTTTTCCGTGCCGGCGATTTGGCCTCACCTTGGCTCACCGAGGTGTGTGATCTGGAGGGTGCGCTTGGGGGCGGTGGGGTTTCGGTGTGGGGTCAAATGGAAGCCACCCTTTGAGCTGCCCGAACCTGGCGAGCCACAAGCAGCCAGAACTGGCAACATATTATTTTACGTTCTGAAGTGATGTAGCAAGTTGTCGCTCTTGACTACTTCTTTTCATCTTTAAATCAACCATTGGATAAGAAGGACACATCTGACCATTGCCCACGTCAGCTTGTCAGCATGTCGACACCAACAGCAAAGCCACCAAGGCGTGTTCTTACACCTAGATGCACCACTGTTCGGGACAAAATAATGCCCGAGATATCAGAGTTCAAACTGTATCGCTGACGCGTCTTGCGATCTCGCTGGCTATGGACTGCGCTGATAAGGCAATAGCTCGGTGGGCAGCATTTACCGGGAGTACAATTCCCGAATTCGAACCAGTCAACATCATAAAGGAAGAACACGGCGATAGTCCATGCGTGCAGTCAAATTAGATGAGTCAGCGGAAATGCGGTCCTTTGGATATCATGAGCGGCATATCGAAACGGCTATCAGATAATGAATCATGCCAAAGTTTGCAGCGGTTCCCTCTGAATACGCGGGGAACACCAACCGACCGGACGAACAAAGCCACAACAGAATCCGTGATCGGCAGACTTTGGCGTGTCAAAATCCAAGGGAACGGTCGGCGGTCGGCAGTCCAGCCCGCCGTGCTACGCCCAAGCCACACACCAAAAACACGGTCGAATAAGGGGCCACGGCGCAGGCCTAGCTTCGGGATTTTCTGTGGGCTCGACCTCGGGTCCGATTTCCAGGATGGGAATCCTCATACTACCGAGCCCCTGTCACCGGGCCCAGCTGGAGTAAATCCCGACGAACACGGCAACTCCAGTAGGATTCAGCTGTTTGTCTGGTTTGTTTGACGGAGGTGGATGCCGCACCGTCTCATATGCTGGCGTCTGCCGGTACATGGGACCAGGCTTCGGCTCGGGTGTCATTTAGGACCCGATTCCACCGTACGGACGGACAACCCACGCCAACCGATTCCAGACATAGGGGATCTGCCGCTGTTAAGATGGGAATCGTATTAAAAGAGGTGACCGTCTGAAGTTGTTTGCTTTCGAGTTGGTAGGAATTAGTTTTCTAGAAAACAACAATCACTTGACATTACACCATTTCATCTTCATCTTATTTTGCATAGCGATTATCATTCGAGAAATTCAACATGGGCTTCAAGGTCATCATCGCTGGAGGCAGTGTCTCTGGACTGTCTCTGGCGAACATGCTGGAAAAGCTCAACATTGACTACGTCCTCCTCGAAGCTTACCCCCAGATCGCGCCCCAGGTCGGTGCAAGTATCGGATTGCTGTCTAACGGCTTCCGTATCCTCGACCAGTTTGGCTGTTACGAGCCTATCCGCGACATTGCGGGAGACTTTTACCTGAAGGCTAGTATTCGCGGATCTGATGGCAGGGTAAAATCAGAAAACTCGCGTGCCTCAACTCACCACTTGGAAAACCGGTATGTTTGATCCGACAACACGGCACAAAGCATGATCAGCACTAACAACATTTCAGGCTCGGATACCCCTCCATCTTCATTGATAGGCAGATCCTTCTCCAGGTCCTCTACGACAACCTGCAGCACAAGGAGAAGGTCCTCACGAAGAAGAGGGTCTCTCGGGTCGACCTCGTCAAGGGCGGCGTCCAAGTTCACACCGACGACGGATCCGTCTATGAGGGAGACATTATTGTTGGCGCAGATGGAATCCACAGCGCCGTAAGAGAGGAGATGTGGCGCATTGGAAAGGAAGAGACGCCAGGATACTTTCCCGAAGACGAGCAGTCCAGTAAGTCACCTAGAGTGTTGCAGTGCTTGCATTTCCCCTTATTTACTCGTTTGCAGGAGTTCCTGTCGACACAAAGTGCATCTTTGGCATTTCCAAGCGCCCCACAGATCTGCCGCCGTACACACAACAAATGGTACACCAAGGAGGCCGAAGCTACCTAATTGTGCACGCGCCCGGCAACAGGACCTATTGGTTCTTGTTCAAGGGCACCGGCAAGACTATTTACGGCAAGGATATTCCTCGATACTCTGAGGATGACAAGGAGAAGTTGGCGAGTGAGCACAAGGACGACAAGGTCTACGATGACTTGACCTTCGGTGCCATCTACAAGAACCGCATCATGTCGACCCTGGTACCTCTCGAGGAGTACGTGTTTGAGAAGTGGCATTACAAGAGGATCATCACCATCGGCGATGCAAGCCACAAGGTGGGTGGCATTCGAAATCCTGTCCATTCAAGCAAGACCTAGACTAACGAGTTCAAGATCGACCCCATCTCCGGTCAAGGCGGCAACGGCGCCATCGAAGCCGCAGCCCTCCTCATCAACGCCCTGACCGACATGCTCGAGAAGAACCCCAAGAATCCCACTGAGGAGGACATCAGCAACGCCTTCGCCTACGTCCACGAGAAGCGCCATGCGAGAGCCAAGGCCTTAGTCGCCAGCGCCCACAACCTCCAGATGATCCTGACCGGCAGATCACCCCTTTCCACCATCGTCGTCAATGTGCTCATGCCGATCCTCGGTGAGGAAAGCTTCCTCAAGACCATTACCCCTATCGCCACAGCCAGCCACCACATTGAGAGACTCCCTCTTCCCAAGCGACCCCGTCTCATACCTTACAACGACGAGCTCCCTGCCAGACCTATCGAGAGCAAGGCAACCTGGGCGCCTTTCATTCTGTCTGCGGGAGTCCTGGGTGCCTTGGTGTACCAAACAGCGTCGCCGGCACACTTCGCCAACGTCGCTCGCTCATTCCAGGCCCTTCCAGCTCTACTGAATGGTGCAGCAAGCAACTCTAGTCTGGTTGCCTCCTTCGCAGCACCTGTGACTGAGAACACGGCGCAGACTATCCAGCTCCGAGCCAACCTCCTTTCTGCTCTCACGATGTGGTTCGTAGAAGGTAGCCGCGTTGGTAACAAGATTGCCGTTCTGTCTTGGTATGTACTTTTCATCAGCATATAGCCATCATATTACTAACAAAGACTGCAGGCCCGCAACCGCTGTCGCCGCGTACACCATCCTCGGCCCCAAGGCCGTCATGCCTGCGTTCAGCTTGGCAACGCTTCTCTTGGGCGCCAACAACATCCCCGGCCGCCACGTTCCCACCAACATCGCCAAGTCAATCCTACCCGCCGTTGTCACAGGCTACGGTATCCCCATGGTCCTGGCATCTCTGCCCATTCAGAACCCCCAACTTCGTCAAGCTGCCAACGTCGTCGCTACCGCGGCCCCTCTTCTCAGCGCGGCTCTCCTTAAACTAATCCCCAACGCGATCAAGACAGTCAAGAACCTCATCAACCCGCCTAAGTCTGACGTCGAGGTCAAGGAGGAAGAGACAGAGGAGTTCCTCGACATGTACCAGAAGAAGGACGTGGCGCCCCTCAAGTCCACCTATGCCTTCACTGCGGGTGTCTGTGCCGTTGCTCACGTTGTTGGTGCCATCTACACTAACTTCGAGACCCCTTCCGCAGTTGGAGCTGCAGGTCTGCTCACTGGTAGCAGCGCTTTGTTTGGTCTGGCCTCTGTCACCTTGTCCTCTTACTTGACCTGGGACTTGAGGACACAGGGATACCTGACCAACAAGCAAACCCTAGCCGCGGGTCTGGCTAACCTTGCTGGCAACGTCTTGCTCGGCCCCGGAGCTGCCTTCTCTGGCTTCTTTTACTGGCGCGAGCATGTCATTTCTCGCCTAGGCGACACATTTCCTTGAGTAATTCAGCATAAGCATAGACACGTAGAAGCGTTGATGTTCTCTCATCATGGGTCTCATCTCTTTTGTTTGTAGCGTGGGCTTAGACTAAACCGTCCCTTCATATCATAGAATGTGGTCTGTATCTTGCAATGGGTGTTTAAGATTGTAGAGAATATTCATACACATTAGAACCTTCCAATTACATGTTTCGTGGCCACTTGTGAGCATACTCAAATTCTCACCCTATAGTCAAACCATGACTGGACCAATAAAGATCTAGAAGCAAGGATGCAACCGCCCGCCATGCAGAGAACTCCGACGTATAAGCCAGCGAGTGCCATGCCGCCGATGCTTTCCAAGATCTGACCTCCGATTGGAACTGTAATCAAGAGAGCAAAGCTGACAGTGAAATTCATACTCCTAAAACATCGACCGTAGTCCTTGGTCTGGCACGTCTTGCCCATGCATGCGGGAATCAGGGACGAGAACACCCCCGAGCTGAAGCCCCACAGAACCGCAAACACGTAGAGGGCCTGGATATGCGTGGTGCCAAATGGGAGTATCGTGACTGCAACACACACGATGGTGAGGCATGTGCTGGTGAACAGAACGTTGTAGTGCCCGAGCTTGTCGCCCAGGAATCCGGCCCCGATTCTGCTGATACAGCCACAGCCGTTGACAATGGCTACAATGTTGTACCCTGTGTCCGCGGGATACCCGGCCCAGTTTGCCAGTGTGGGAAAGATGCCTGAGATGCCGAAGATGACGAACTCGAGGAGGAAGAAGGCCGCCGCGATGAGTGAAAAAGCGGGGACGCGAAAGGCGGCGAAGTTAATGGTCGCGCTTGCGGCGCGGTGTCTTGGTGCGGAGGCAGCAGACTCCGTAGACGGTTGTGAGGGGACAACGAGTTGCGTGGGATGGTGGGTTCGTAAGAGCTTTGCAAAGGGGATGAAGCATAGCGTCCCTGGAATCATGACGCCTGCGATGGTGAAGCCCACGAACCGCATCGACCAGGCCCAGCCCCATTTGGGAAATAGCTCTCGCAGAAGAAATGGGAAGACCACGCCACCGAGCGCAGAGCCGGTGAGCGCTAGACCTATGGCGAGTCCGCGCAGTCTCGTGAATATCTTGCCTACGACCGACACGGCGACCGTCGATGCTAACGCGCCGCCGATGCCGCCGTAGATGCCGAGGCAGAGCATGAACTGCCAGTAATACTTGCATTCGGCCAGGAGGAAGAAGGTTGGAAATGTAAGAGCTGTAGAAAGGGGTGCGAGCACTTCGGTCCCATAACGGTCAACTATGGGCCCTGCTTGGATTCCGAGAAAAAGTGTCAGGGCGGTGTAGAGGCCCGTCACCCAGCCGATGTCGCGAGCCGAGTATTCTGAGAGCTGGTGTTCTTGGAGATAGGCTTGGACTGTGCCGATAGCCTGGGGAAATCCTAAAGTGATGTATTTAAGAGGCTGTTTCTTCGAAGATGGTAGGGATTAGACTCACCATATGATGGTAGCAGGAATATAAACGCTCCCAGAACGCATATCCAAGATGAAATGCTCTTCTCAATGTCTGCCGACCTGGTGTTTCGTAGACTTGGAGCATCTGAAGGAGGTGCTTGTTGACCGCTCTCCAGCTCGAAACTGGTAGACGCAGCTTCGCGCGCCGTTCCGAGGTCGGAGTTGTTCTGGGCGCTTGGCGATGACATTGCCAGCAGAGAGTAGCTTGGCTTCAACCCTTGAGATACACAGAGTTGATCGGATCACTTGAGAATCCGGAACAGAGAAACTCCTCCAGAGACATACACCGGGAGACTTGCGGGTTGAGAGAGTAGTGTTGGAAGAAAGGCGGTCGAGAAACTGAGATGAAAGTGCGGAGATCGGCGGCACTACGGTGTGGGATGCCGACTGTGGAGTCTGGCCGGTCCGGCCCGAGGTGTCCCGCAGTCGGTTCGAGTTCTGGGTCTGTATTGTGGCTCAACCATTGCTACTGTGACGTGTATTCAATCAAAGTGGGCTATAATCTTGGGGACATGAGATATTTAAACTGTTGGTAAATGAGCAGACTGACTGGGACATTCAACTCTATGCGCTATCCTCACCCAATGCTTTCCTTCTTCATATACTATCTACACGTTGATGATCTTCTTTATGTAATCTATTAGCTCATCTCCCTTGTGCTGACCGAATTCATCTTCAAATGTACCAACCCTGAGCTGCGATTCGATCTCGTCTGCATCTGGGACCGGATGTCGCTCGTAATTGACTGGCCCATCCGAGATGGAGTGGGGGATGAACACCGAGGCATTCGTCGTAATGGGCGTTCTGTCTTCGCGGACACCCATGCCCACGCAGTCTCCATCGACAAACCAGAGTCCCAAGACAGGAAAGTTGGACTGGCCCTGCTCATCCTTGAAATCAGGAGGCAGCGCCAGCTCCTGCACCACGTAACCCTCGTATCCGTAGTAGCCCATAGACGCGTCCTGAAGCACCTCCCCGTCGGTTTTAAGCACCACGTCCGCTCCTTCGCGGGAGAAAATCGGCTTCCGCGCATACCTTGTTAGTGTAGCAGGCACCTCATTGTCGAAGTAGGTAGGAAGCAACCACTTGGATCGCGGGTCATCCTTGAAGAGCTCCCAAAGAACAGCAAAGAGTGCTTTGTTGCTCCACACCAGCTTATAAGGCGCCTCGATCCAGATCGTTCCGCCGATGTACTGCCCCGTCGCGTCGCGTTTTCCAATGTTCTCCATGTCCTTGAAACACGCCTCTCCAAACTTCTGCACCACCATGTACTCCCACGGGTACAACTTGAAAATAACGTCAATGTGCTCTCCCTGTTTGTCATAGAAGCGGCCGTCCACTTTGGACAGGCTGATTTCCTCTACCGTAATAGCTTTGGTCTGCCATCCTGCTTGCTGACACGTGTCCATCAGAAGCATCGTGTTTGATGCGTCTTCGCAGGTTGGCTCGCCTTCTCCCACGGCGAAGTGCACGATGGGTTTGAAACCCAGCTGTTCCTCAACGAGGTTCAAATTGCGCTTCCAGCCTTCGATAAGTGACTCGGTAATGTGGTTGAACTGGTCGTTACCGTGACCCGTTTGCTCTAACCAAAGCCACTGGATTGACGCTGCCTCGATCAAGGATGTCGGCGTATCCGCGTTGAATTCGTAAAACTTTGGCACTCGAAGCCGCGGATCAGGATGGTCCAGACCGCCGAAACACACGTCGAAGCGACCGTAGATGCTTCCCCAAGCAGGCTCTCGATCCCACGAGTCGACGATTTGCTTGAGCGTGTACGCGGGAACTGCCATTTTCTCCGTGATAATGTCCTTGTGCTCCACGAGATAGTCTACCGCCTCGCAGCACATCGCGAAGACATCCTTGGATGCGGCCTCCAGCAAGGCCACCTCCTCAGAGGTGAAGGAATAGTAGCGATCATCGGGCCAGTATGGCTCTGTTCCGCCGGGCGTAACAAGGTCGGCGAAGACGAGACCTTGACTTTGCACGAGGCGTGTGGCGTTCGGCCTCTTCTGTACAGGTACACGACGCATGGTTGGTTGTGTTGATGTTGATGATTCTGGTGGAAGCTGATTGACGCTGCCGGTACCTATGAGCTAATTGGGAAGATGTCGGTTCGAAGAGGAAACGGCGGGGAGAGTTGGACTGAAAACTACCGTCCATGCCAAGAATGAATTGAGTAGACTTTGATATCCAGTGGCGCTGCATTCAATGCAAACTCTCTCTCAAACTCGTTGTAACCGAGCATGAGAATCGCCTGCTATTAAATGATGCCAAGAGCTTTTTATGTTGGTTGCAGAGTGGGATGAAGTCGCCTGACTTGTGGCTTTGCTCTTTATCAGGAGACAACGACTCAGTGACATGGCGATCAAACGCAAAATGGCAGCCGGCTCGACCGGCATCATCCTTACACATGCGATGAACCGCGCCCGCTCTTTTTACGGGCAGAGTGGGAATAGCAGTTCGGTTTCGGACCCCGCCGATCTCTGGGCGCTCAATTTTGAGTTCAAAGGTCAGCCTGAGAAGTTTGAAGGCCTGCCGGTAACACCGTTAGGGTCTTGGCGCATTGCACAGAGAGCAGAAGGCCTGCCCTACAGCAAGGATGACTTCATATATCTAAAGCTTCTTTTTTAAGCTTCCAGGAACATGTCACAGAAGCATAGATTTTGGAAAGATTTGGCGAGCCGAGGCACTGCATAGTAGAAGAAAAAGAAGGTCTTAATTTAGAAAAATCTATCGTCCCATGTATTCTAGTTTACCACCCCCACATGTTCTCAATATTGTTGCACCAATCGGTCGGGATTCCACAGAAGTTTTGGTCGGCCTCCGTCGGGGCCTTGACGCACTTGTTCTCTCCGGCCTTGTTGCGGATGCACACGGCCGTGACGGCCTGCGGGTTGGGCCACGCCTGGCGCATCTGGCAATCCGGGTTGAGTGTGATGGTGGTGCCTTTGTCACGAGAGTACCACTGCCAGGCGCCTGGGCAGTAGCCAGTTGAGAATCGGAATCCTGTGATGGCGTCTCCCGTGACAGTCGTGTCTGCGCATAAGCCACCGGCGTGAGCCGAGACGAATAGCGCCGCTGCAGAGACGAAGGAGGAAAAGTGCATCTGGCGTCATGTTAGCAATCAAGGTTCTTGCTCACGTGGGAATGGTGGCTGATGACTCACATTGGAGAGGTTGTAGCGCAGTAAGGACAGTTGGAGCGAGTGTGGTTGAGTTGGTGAAGTGTTTGAAAAAGAGCGTGGAAGTTGCCCAGAAATGTGGTCTCCGCCCGGGTCACTTTAAGTCTAAGTATTTATGTCAGGAGAGACCGAAAGTTCGTCCCATGGGGAAGAATAACGAGTGAGCTTCTTCCGACTGAGATCTAGAATGCCAAGAAACGTGGAATTGCGCTTCTATTAAACACTGCCCCCGAAGGTTCCGTGCGTGAGTCGCGTGAATAATATAATTGAGGTATCTGCAGAACCTTATTAATAGGTGCTTAATTGGTGCTTAACATGAGGGATATGCGTGATCGACAGAGAAATAACACATCGAGTCAGGCGTTCCCGAGGGCCTCGCAAGGCGGCGGGAACGCAAGGCCCCCAGGGTGCATTGGACTTCAAGAACATAAATGTGGACTTTGCCCACGACATATCTTGCAGGTGTCTTTGTTTGGACGACCAACACCCATTCTCTAAAGTATCAAACACGGTCTTTACCAACCACACTCTTTTGAATTCCTTCTCTCAATCATGACGAGAGAACACATTCCTTTGCCTGGCTTGCGAGTCATGGCGACCGCCTTCTTCCTCGCCCGCATGGCCGAGGGCGCCGAGACTTACAAGAACTACTGTGCCGACCTGGACAACAAAGTCGTAGACTACAAGAACTGCGACGGCAAACAACCCGCAAGCACATTCTTCATGTTCGCCAGTGACGACCAAAACATTCCTCTTGGCACCGTCGTCGACCCTATGCACGTAGATCTCTTTGACAGCTCCGACCCCGTCGAGCGCCAAAATATCCTCCTTCCACTGGAAATCGAAAGCGGTGGATTTGGAAAGCGCCAAGATTGCGGCACCACAGGAGGTGGTGGTGGTAGCACCGGTGGCGGTGGCCGCGGCGGCACGGTCATTGTCGGTGGCGGTGTCATCGTTGGTGGCTAAGACAACTACGGGCGACTGTAGTGGGAGGTTATGAGAGATGTTGGAGTTTGGACAAGGCGCGAATAGCTAGAGCGCGTCTCAAAGGCACTCAGAGGAAGACAATTTGGCGTGCAGAACGTGGGAGAAGGTTGCGGTGGAATGACCATGAAGGAAGTAGCGCAATTAGTTACAACCCGGAGGAGAGCAATAGGGTTGGACATCGACTCTCTCAATTCAAAACATTAACGATCTTTAACAAATATTTTACCTGTGGTTCTCCACGCGAATCAGCCAACCAAGGAAGTTGATGAGCAGGCTCGAATTTCAACTGCTTGATGCTGCAGATGGCCTTTACTTTTCTGTCTGTTACTGTAGTTACTTCCTTCAACGTGACGCTGAGTCAGGTTGCTGACACCGAAGAGCTACCAAAGCTCGAATAATTGGCAATGTTGTTGTGAAGGGTTTATCAACCTCGTCATCAGTTCGAGTGTGAGATGCAGGGTGATGAAGCTCAGTACTTCTGGCAACTTCGGCGCAACTTGGCGATGCCGTTGCCGTCCATCGCGGGTAGACCGGCGTTTTGGGCAATTCCGTCCGCACTTACAAAATTGCCGCTTTGATTAGAATCCAGTTGCAAAAAGCTTGTTCCCGCGTCATCCCCGACGGCACCGGAAATTTCGAGGCCAATATGAACGACAAGGGTAATGCAACTTGCCAGAAGCTTTTACATGGAGCAATACTCGTGCCGTCATGTCATAAGTCCCAAATGTCAGGCATCGCGTGTTCTATATGCGACCATGAATCGTTGAAAACCCCGAGGCCCTAATTCCGAGCCCTCATCTGAACGAGATAGTCAGAGTTCTTCTAACGAACCCAGTACCCAGAAGGCGCTGTGAATACTTTCTAGACCATCAATCTAGTCTAACACAAGTTCAGAGTTGGTTATCAACCTTTCATTCCGAGGACGCATTTCCAGGCGCGCGTGCATTGTTTTCTTCTTCACATATGTTAATCATAGATGAAGCCGTGCTTGAAGAGACGAAAGCTGGCACGATTACACCTCATGTGTAATCGCGATCTGAATGCCTTGGTGGGCAAGTTCAGGGGATATTCCGCCCAGCGGGATGCTCCGCCGCCAGCTTCTCATAGGAATTGACATGGACCTGGCGAAGAGTCGCATCAGAAAGTCTCAAAATAACCCTCAGGCATGCGCCAAGACATTTGAGGCATTGATTACTGATCTCTCGTTGCTCTCGCAGGAAATTCACTTTAGTTGATCCCGGACCCATCTCCAGTATGCGATTCAACACCGCGACATGCAAGTAATAACAGCCATAGAGATACGGTACGATTTATATGGCGGGCTGACATCAGCGAGAAGATCTCATCGAGCCGAGATTCGGCGCCATCCTTCTCCGAGCTCGCTGAGTCGCATCGTGTGAAATACCTTGGACTAGGCAGAAGGAGCTGATTGTAATCCCTGTGCGGGGATTGGCCCCCAGAGGAAGCGGCACAATTGCACTGCCTTGGGGCTTCGGTGTGCAGATAAGCACTTAACGTCACAGGCGATAAAGATCCCAATAAGACGGCTTCATGTCAGCAACCAACAAACCAATCGGCTGTGTGCAAGATGGGCTTTCCTCCATTGGCCCCTGAGGCCAAGAAGGCTGAGCATGTTTGCTGCCTGGTGGACATCGATCGGAAAATCCCCCGAAGATCTACTTTCGGTGTAGGGCGTATTACAGGTGACGATATTCTAGGTTGTAATCAGCCCTACGGGAAGAAATGTTGACTGACATGTTGCGCTAACATGCGTGATTCAGTGGCTGGCTGAAAAGTGGATCGTTTGCACCGCATCATTTGCCTACTTCTGGTATGGCACCATGATGAACCCCGGAAAGCTGATTAGGCACCCAAGACACCATTCTCAGTGGCTAGGCAATGATGCAGGACGAGAAAGCCGTGCCTCTGGCGGCTGTACTAAACAGGCAAACGATGACTATGTTGGTGGGGGTACACAAGGCGATGCTACCTCGGCACATGGAGCTTCCTGGTGTAAATAGCGTGGCCTGCCTCACTGGCCAGTACATTTTTTCTGGATCGTCCACAGCCAGCCAAATTTTCATTCTTCTAGACCTCATCCATACGATTCCATTGATACAACTGTTGTGTGAGGTCTGTCAAAACCATGGCTTTCATCGAATTGATCGTCGGGTTGGCGACATCACGTCTAATTTGGGTGATCCCGACCATCTATATTTTGTTCAGACTCCGCAATTTTGGTCGCCGAGATAAATTCTTGCCTCCCGGGCCGCCCACCGTCCCGATTCTCGGAAATGCACACTTGATGCCGCGGAAGAATTTCTATGCAAAGTTGGAATAATCGAACGAATCATGTTTTTAGGTGACTAATTGGATTTAGACTCAAAGAATGGGCCGACGAATATGGCTCAGTCTACTCACTAAAGGTCGGACGCACGACTATGATCGTCCTTAATGATAGACAGGCTATCCACGAACTGTTGAATCAGCAGGGGGCGCTCTACAATGATAGACCTCGAGACCAACAGGTTTTGGCCTCAACAAGAGATGAGAACCCTGCTCTCATGCATGAGGGCCCCGAGTGGAGAGCTGAGAGGAAGCTCATCGCTCAGTACTACTCGCCCAAGAATCTTGACAGCGAATTAAAAAGCATTCAAGAGGCAGAGTAGGTAAAAAGTTCAACCACACTTAAGTTTATACTGACGGAGAACCAAGGGTCTGTCAAATGTTGCATGATTTGCTTGAGAAGCCAGAGAGTTTCAAAACACATGTGCAGCGAACGACAGCCTCGATTGGCACTGTCACTCTGTACGGGCAACATGCGCACAATTTTGAAAGTTTCTGGGCTCATGTAAGTCAAGTTCACTAGCCATTTGGACCGGTGCTGATATTTCAAGGCTGTCTATATTGCAATGTTGGCAATCTCAAAGGCTGTTGAGCCTGGAACTTACCTCCCAGTTGATCAGTTCCCCATCCTGAACCTCGTCCCCGACCGCTGGAATAAGCCTAAGCTTCGGGGAATGGAGTATTACAAGACAATCACTGGTATTTGGACCGAAGCGTACGATCGCGTGGAAGCCAGACGTGCAAAGGGCGACAAGCGTGAATCACTGATTGACAGACTACTCAACGAAGACATCAAGTCCGATGCGCCGCTTTCACATACGCAGTTCAACAACTTCGTTGGAGGCACACAGATGGGCGCGGCTGACACGACGGCTACACAAATTCTTACGAACATCCTCTTCCTGGCGAAGAATCCAGAATTTCAAGAAAAGGCCCGCGTTGAGCTTGATGCGTTGTGCGGGACCGATCGTCTTCCTCAATGGGAAGACTTCAATGACCTGCCATATATCAACTGCATCATCAAAGAGGCCCTACGAATCAGACCAGTGTAAGTTCGCCTGAAGCCCAAGTAAGCATTGCGTTAGACTAAATTCTCCAAGTGTTCCAACTGGCGTACCCCATCTCGCCAAGCAAGACGCCTGGTACAAGGGCATGTTGATCCCAAAGGGCAGCGTCGTGATGATCCCGCCGAGCGCTCTCAATCACGACAGCAAACACTTTGACGATCCTGAGGCCTACAACCCGGACCGCTATCTTGCTTCGGCCTCGAAATTAGCTTCCGAGCTCGCCGCATCGCCGGCGTACGATGAGCGCGACCACTACACCTATGGTGCTGGGCGGCGCATGTGCCCCGGTATCCACATGGCCGAGCGGACTCAGTGGCGAAGTGTCGCTCAGATGCTCTGGGCTTTCAAGATTGAGAAGGATGGCGTGCTGGATACGAGTTATGAGTTCTACGAAGAAGGCTTCGTGCATGCGACGAAAGATTTTAAAGTTCGCTTTATCCCACGGAGTAAGAGGCATGCTGAGGTTATACGGGAGAAGTACGTTGAGACTCAAGAGTTTCTCAAGCAGTGGGACTAGGTGCGCTCGAAGACAGTACCGTTAACTCTTGTATTTTATTGTTTAAAAGAGCGTAAGAGTCAATAATGTAGCCAGAGGGGCCTTTTCCGTGGCCATGTCACTGCGTTATGATCGAATTTGAGACCCTTCTCGTCGGGAGTAGCCAATCCGGACGCTGCAGTTGCATCTTGGAGAGTCATGTGATGTAGTGCTGCATACGCCAGACATTTCGGTTCGTTTATACAGGAGTTCAGTACTCGGTGGGCAGAGTGAAATTGAAGTATTCAACCTATGTGGCATGTCAATCGGTGGCAGGCGGTACAGAGCGAATGGAACATTCGTTCACCAGCAAAGATTCCATTCGTACTGTATCGCGACTATCGGAGAACCTGGGTACAACAATAACTGCCCCCAATTTGGATCAACGTCTTGCCACATGCATCCTGTCACTCAGCTAATTCAAAACTTGTGTATTCGACCCCAATCCCACGAAAGTCATCCTCAATCCCAGACACACCGTGATGCGTTGCTCCTTGTCTGGATCCGAACGACACTTTCTTCAGCAACGGGATTTCCGAATGTCGTTCCGTGAATCTCAGAAGCTGATCTCGCATGCTTTTCACAGCATGCGTGGAGACATCGAGAAACCAGGAAATTCTTCTAAGGAGGCAGAAACTCTCGATGCCTCTTGGCAACATGTCGGTCAGCCATCCAACTGGCTCAAATGAGGATGTGTCAAGACTCAACATCTTCAACTTTTCGAATCCAGTCAGGTTGAGAGTGAGACTAGAAAGGTTATTACTCTGGGACAAAGAAAATCCCATATGTACAGTGAGCTCTTCTAACGTTGACTTGTGCGCTGCCAGAGCGTCCTGAATTCCTGGCACTGTCGTTCTCGGCTCCGCCTCGAACTGAAACGTGAAATGTCGCATTTTGAAGAGGAAGAACTCACCTGACAGAGCTTCCGTTTTGGGCTCGTATTTGAAGCTCAGAAGAGGCCCACACAACAATAGGAGTTCTCTCAAAGAACAGTTGTTTATGCTCATGGAGTTCAAGTCTAGCCGTCGAAGGTTTCTCAGACGTAGGTGTCTGAGTCTAAAGTTGCCTAGTTCGGTCCTTCGTTCCAGCCGTACGCTAGTAAAGTCTAATTCTTGAAGGTTTGGCGCCCAAGAACATATGAAGGGGAGAAGAATGCTGTCATCCGCGCAAGAGACTTGGCGTAACTTTGGCAAATAAGCACACAAATCCGTCCGAGCCAAAATCTTTGCGTCGCTCGAATAAGTGCCTTTGTGTACGTGACCTGGCGTACAAATAGCAAGTTTCTCTAGCTCTACCGTTCTCAAGAGGATGTGCATCAGTGCAAAGAGAAACAATTCTGTCAGAATAGATGCAGTAGTTGATGCCACACCCCAAGGGATGCGAAGTTGGCAGTCGGGCATCCCGGCCAGGACGTACACCTCCCAAAGCATGTTGGGATCGGGTTTCGTGATGGGCCGTCTTATGTTGTTCCATTCCCACTTTAACGCGATGCTTTTGACGTGGTACGACAGGTCTGGTCGTGAAATAATCGTGCGAAGGAAAAGGAATGGCTTGACGATTGCCTCATTGTCTTGTCCAGTTATGTCGAACGTGCTGAACCTGCGGTACATGATGGGAGTTATCAGGTCGTTGAATCTTTTGCTGACACGGCAGAGGGAGACCGCGACCTTTGAAAGCCTTTTCGAATCTCCAGGATCACCCATGATCATGAACAAAAGTTCGGTCGGCAAGCATGAGAGGCGGTCTGCGCCTTCTTCAGGCTGGGAGTTGTGACCTCCAGCTCTACCTTGACCACTTCCTCGGGATCCTCTGTCAGACCTGCGTTGAGCTGAGCTTTTGGCCTTGTATTGCGTTGCTTTCTGGACTCTGCCTCGGCCCTGCCGACCTCCCGCGGGAACCATTTGCGATGTGAAAGGTTGAGGGACCGGTGATTCTTGAGTAAGTACGATATGTGTAAGAGAGATATGGGATGTGATAAAAGGCCCGTTGGCGGCGCCCAGGAGTACGTAACGGGGGCCTAGGGTTGAGTCATTCGCGAAAATTCGAATGTTGAAGATGGGAGAGTTTCAAGAACTGAAAAGACCGGAAGAGGTTGGGGAGCTAACCTCATAGGTTTAGACACCTTGACGTCTTGGTGGCTCCTGAAAAAGAGCATATGTTCGCCTGATCAGTTGAGTCATAATATAGACAAGACAAACATCTACTTTGAGGACCTCATCTTTCCCAATCTTGAATGCAGACACGAGGAAAATATTTTCTTAAATGCTTATGGATCAACCATCTTTGCTCCTGTTCGTTTGGTATGGTATGCCAGAAAACCTTCAAAACTTTCAACAAGAGAAAGATTTCGGTCAGAGCGTTAGCGAGTTCAATATCCCGTTAGTTACGTGAAGTAATACAGCTTTCAGAGGCTGATAAGTACAGATTGGGTTGCACTGTACCATCAGACTCCTTCTTGGCAATTGGTCAACGCCTAATATTAATGCACAGAATATCAATCAAGCTCGAATTCGAATAATCAAACATCTTGCCTATTCAACATTAAGTTATATTTGTAAAACTTCTATCCATCATTAGAATCAAACTAACATCCCCTGTCATTCCAGAAGTCATCCCAGTGATCTTGTAGCCAATTGTTTAAATCCCGATCTGAGTCTTCACTCGAGAGATACGCAAGGTATTGGTCCAGCTCATGCCTAATCCATTTGTACAACTCCCCAACTTGCAACTGAGTATGTATGTGCGAGCAGGAGAAAACTACTCCTTTTCGACGGAAAGAGTCCTTGATGCGACCCAGCTTCGTGATATCTGTAGAACCCAGAGCAGCGCAAGGCCACGGAAAAAGAGTGACACTTTGAAGATGAGGTAGTCATAGCACGGAAAGAGAGTCGGCTGTATCCTGCAGCTCTTCATGCATAGTTCGGTGCATGCCAATCAACTGAAAGGATTCGAGATTTGGCGGGAGGAGTTCTGACAAAGAGTCTGTCGAATGATAGTAACAGGTGTCCAGAGTCAGGTGGCTCAGACGCTCGAACACATCCATTGGAATCATTCTCTCTCGAATGGACTTTGGGCCGTGTGGGAGCTTTGCACCCACCATGACAAGGTTCAGATACTCAAGGGTCTTTTGCTGCGACCTCAAAGCTTTGAGTACGTCATTAGGCTGCGCCGGGCGTATGTCACCGTACCAAATGTCGTCAATGTCTGTCAAGCGGCATCCTACCGGCATGAAGTGGAAACTCACAAGCGCTTTGCATGAGGATAAAACCAACTTCAGAGGCTCAGGCGGGATGCGAGACTTTCCAAGATTCAGATGCGTTAGAGATTGGAAGGAAAGCTCTTGTTGCGGCAGCTCATCCTTCGGGTCCCAAACACCGACGTTGAATGACAGCCGCTTCAGACTTGGTGCCATGAAAGAAATCGATTCGAAAAACAAATACGAGGTACTGAAGCTGTCATGCCGGGCTGACGAAGGCTGCGTAAAGTTGACCTGCTCTAGGTGAGATAGAAGTCGAGGAGAGTGAGGATGTAGCAGTGTCTTCCTCTTCACATTAGCTCTCATCTTGTCCTCCAGATCGCTTGCCTCATCAGAAAAATGTAGTGACAGTTTTTTTAAAGGGGAGTTTTGATCAGTATAAGGCTGTAGGCCAAATCGAACCACGCAGCTAAGATTTCACAAAACTTCCAGCCATTAGTATCTTGTAGGAAGCCACGATGGTGGAGATCTTGAATAACAATTGATGGTAGTCTATAGTCGTTCTGATCAAAATTGTAAGGGCTTAGCATCGCGAGATCTAAGCTGTATACGGAGACTGGCTCGGTGGTTGAGGGTGGAACGGAAGCGTTTCAAATTACTGAACTCCTTCCCGCTGCCAGTGTATTGGAAACGGCGATAAAGCCAAGGCGTGCCAAGATAGTAAACGACTTTGCACATTCTGCAGAAGGCTGAGAGATCTCGCGGCTGGTACGGCTCTTTGGAGTGAAGGAGGTCGAAGATTTCGTCAGGCAGACAGGGTGGAAGCTGCAGAATAGGTGACCATAGTACTGAATGCGTAAGGGAATTGTTGGCATGGCTCGCCGTGGTAATCTCAGCCGTCATTTTGAATGTAATAGCGGAGGCAGAGGTTTGCTCAAAGATAGTTGATCAAAGTCCGTAGGCGGATGTGTGTTTGATTTGCTAAAATGACGAGACTGTTTAGTTTTTTCTACAGGCCGACAGAAATCAACTTGGTCATCAAAACCTTGATATGTAAAAGTCACTTTTAGTAACCCTAAATCTGCCAAGGTTGAAGTAAAAGGGAAGGTTAGCACAGCCACCAGAACCTAGGCGAGTACAGGAAGGTTACGACAACGCCACAAGAGCGCCACAAGAACTACAATTACTATCTACATAGACGATATCTTTCTAAGAGTCTCGGTTTGAAAGATGAGGCCGCTCCAGAGGCTGATGACCGGCTCAGCGTCCACATAATGGAGTCTCAGCATGATGCGCAGTCCGTCGACAAGCAAGTCAATAGAATCTCCCTGCTTCTCACTCTCAGCAGGCACTGCGGCGGCAACCAGCTTCAAACCAGAAAACTCCCTGAAACTCGCTCGCGGATCTTCGTCGTCTCCCTTCTCCAGCCTCCATCCAGATGACCACTCGCCAATCCAATCCTCCCATCTTGTATCAATCTTTTTGTTGATGTCCCTGAAAGGAATGGATACTTCCTGAAGATGCTCCAACGTGCCCATGTAAGGCCACTCTTTCGCATAGGATACTGCGTGAACTACTCGGCAGCATACATCAGTTCCTTCCCATCCGTTGGTCATAACAGCGATACCGCAACCTTCTTCCAAGTCTTTCTCGTCGATGTCTCCAGTTGTGTTGGCAAAGCCAACCACGTAGCATCTGAAGCAGGGCGAGTTGCCACCAAAGTGGCCAAAGACGTTGCTCTTGTTCCTTGACACGAACCATGAGATGGCAATGCCCTGTTGTACCTGGGTCAACATCTCCTTGGCAACTGTCTGTGACAGAAATTTGTCCTTTTCGGGGACATCTGCCCTCAAGGATTGCTGGATGCCTCTGATGAGCTTCAAAAGGTCCGTTGGCGTCGTCCAGACTCCACCTGACGCGAACTCAGGATGGTGATGCCATGGGGTATCATGCGGCTCGTTGCCAGTCCACCAAGAACGCGCATAGTTCCCCTTGTCGTCATGCTCAGGCATGTCATAGCTTGAGTGAGACATTTCGAGGGGTTCAAAGACGAGCTCTCTCACCAGATCCGGGAAGGGCTTGTCAAACATCTTCTCCAGTATAAGTTGAAGCATGGCGAAGTTTCCCCCGCAGTACGCGTGCTTCATTCCCGGCAGCAGGGTCAGTCCTTCGGCAATGTTATGTCCACCGTTCCTGTCGAGCAACGTGTCTAGGGCCGAAGGCATGTTGTTCGCATAACCCGTATAGGCCGAAGTGCGGAACCCGGCCGTGTGGGTGAGAAGATGGCGGAGAGTTATTTGTTTGAGAATCGTGGGCGGCCCGAGGTTCAGAAAGAGCTCTTCCGGAAGGTGGTGTAGCAATTTGTCGTCCAGTGAAAGCTTCCCCTGACTCACAAGCCTCATGACTGCAGTGGCAGCCGTGGGCTTGGAGATGCTCGCCGCCTGAAAACAGGTTTCTTCGTCATTACCAACAGTAGAGAAACATCTGGCCTCGATACTGCCTTTGTCTAGGACGGCGATGGAGACAGAAGGAATGCCCAAGGATGCCAAGAACTGCTCCGGGACCGACGGCGGAACTGTCTGATTTGCAAACAGGTCTGCGATGGTGTCGTAAAAGGTCATCTTACTTGAGGATATCGCGACGAGAGTGAAGAGAACCGGTTCGTTGATAAAGTCGATTGTAGGGATAGTGAGGAAGAGAGTGCGGATTAGTGACATTCAACTAAGCAAGCTGATGGCCTTGCAAAGCTCTTAAGCAATCTGACTTTCGCCAGACTTACGTGCCACACTCGCACCAGTCTTACGAACGGGATGACGCAAACATGGTCAGCAGCCAGCTTCGTCAAATCTCACCCACCCACGCCAAGTCTCTCGAAAGTTGAAGCCACATCGATCATTGTATTGTATGACTGAAGGATAATTTCAGATTCCCGCTTTATTGACATTTGGTTCCAAAGCATGTACTTGGAAGGTTGAAAGGTGAGCACATTCCTTATGAGGAGAAGATACCCCTCGAAGCTCAAGTACGCTTCCAATTTCCTAATTGACGTTGAAAAGCCGTTAGTCTTCACCAATGAGTATCGCTGTACCCCGCATATGTTGACGTACTCTCCCACCAGTTCGTTCAAGACCTTCCGAGACCCCGCCAACCCCACCATGCCGTGGAAGGCCGGTGAAGGGACGGAGGGGCATTCTTCCACCAGTCGCCGGGTTGGGCAGATCTGAACCGATCCCGCCTCCGCAGCCGCGCCGCACGCGTGCGGCTACCCTGCGTCGAGATGCCACAGAAGGTATGTTTACCCACGATGTATCGCCTCCAGATGCACCTCATGCTGTCGTCGGCGAAGCTGATGTAGCGCCTACTTATCCGTTCAGAAAGTATAAATGTGAAAATCTCAAGCGTTTACCAGAGATAATCGAGGCACCGCATGAAACTTGGACTACTTATTATTTTTCTCCCAAACGTTCAGTCAAGATGATATCCTTCAGTAGAAAGCTCATATCGGCAGCCTGTGTCGCTACGTTTTTCCGTATCGCAGCAGCATGGATCCCTCCACCCGAGTACGCCCTCTTCGCCTCCGAAAATGGCCACTACTTCCAGACCATCGACCAGAACCCCTTCTTCTGGCAGGCAGACACCGCATGGTTCTTTTTCAACCGTCTTACGTTTGAAGAAGCCGACACATACCTTAAAGACCGCCACAGCAAAGGCTTCAACGTCGTCCAGGCCGTCGGCGCGCACCCAGACAGCATCACCGAGCCAGACCGCCTCGGCAACCCGTCCTGGATCGACGGCGACGTAACGAGGCCAAACCTTGATCACTGGGCATTCGTCGACAAGCTGATGGAACACGCGTGGGAGGAGTACGGCATTCGCATCGTGCTTCACCCAGCATGGGGCAAGTACGTGCATAACGACGCCGGCGTTCCTGGGTTCTTTGACGTGGCCACTGCGAGGGGGTTTGGAGAGTTTGTGGGGGAGCGGTACCCGTACGTGCCCAAGATTGTCTTTGGGGATACGAATCCGTGGTGGAAGAACAAGACTGCGATCGCGAGAGATTACGCCTACGGCGGTGTTCGGGGGACGAAGCTGTCTGGTGAGTATGAAGTGATTGACTTCACGCATGTATATGAGGCCTTTGCGGAGGGCATCGTGGACGGTGAGAAGGCTGCTCTGGGGGATGAATGGGGCGAGCCTATTGACAAAGGCCTTGTTTACCAGCCGATGGTATCGATGCACCCCACGAACCAATGGTTCGCCGACGGTCCCCTGGCGCTATCAAGTTCATTCTTCGGGAACAGCTCGTGGCTTGGTTTCGACACGTCCCAATCTGGCCATTCGGACTATCCTCCCAACGCCCCGATTCCTTGGTGGTCTTGTCGCCGGGGATGGGAGCCAGCTGAGGTTATGTACGCCGTCGGCGAGACTACCTCTGGCAAGAAACGTCCCGCAATCGAGAATGAGCCGCACTATGAGGGCCGCTGGAACAATGCCAAGGCTCACCTCAGTGTCTGGAACGCCAGCGACGTCCGGATCGGAAATTGGCAGACTGTGGGTTGATTTCCAAAGAAGGCACGACGCGCGATTTGCGCGATCTGGACTGACGATGAGTCGGCGTAGGCTTTCACCGGCATGGCTGGTCTGACATACGGATCGAACTCGGTCTGGCAGATGACGTCGGAACTCTACCCGAACGGCGGCGGGGGACCTCCGATCTACTGGACAGAAGGCATAGCGCAGCCTGGCTCAGCTGAGGTTCAGTGGGTGAAGAAGGCTATTCTTGACCGTGGCGAGGAGACATATTTCGACAGGATTCCAGCTCAGGATATCATTGTCGGAAACCCTGGTTCGTCTGAAGTACCCCAACAGCGCAAGAAAGCCTCGCGATAAGGCTGTTGGGATGGTTACTAAATGTTCTGCAGGGATATCTGACGCCAGGATTGCTGCCACCCGTGACAGCAAAGGATCGTGGCTGATGGTATACTCTCCAAACTCTACCATCACGATCGACACCGGCAGTCTTACAGGGTGTAATGTGACCGCGAGCTGGTTCAGCCCTGTGTCTGGTGAGTATACAAAGTTTGACTACGAGCAGTGCACCGGAACGGGAGTTCGTCGCTTCGAGTTGCCTGTTGGAGACGATCATCAAGACTGGGCCCTGGTTTTCGATGCCCATGCATGAGAGTCGAAGTATGCGAGAGAAAACGTCACCTTGGGAGTTATACATTATGAACATGTCTTTCAGAACGTGGGATAATCATGCAGAAAATAGTGGTACAAAGATAAATTCAGAAGGTGTCTCAATGTGTCAGTAGAGCGCTCAGAGCCGTGCGGTGTCTCGATCGCATTAAATCGTTCAAAGTCCACGCTGCACCAGCTGTCCGCTCTTCAACGGAGACACGCGGTATCTCGGTTCTGCAGCTCACGTCACAATGTAGGAGGGGACACCATATCCTTACCTCTGGTTGGTGCTCAGACGCGGTGTCCGTTCCTATCTTGGGGCATCAGATGTTCACCGAGCTGACTCGTACCCCATGTCTTTCTGCACCCTTGGAGACAGGCCAGGGACGGCCCGGGGACAGGAAGCGGGTAGAGGTCATTGGTCTCACAAGGGCAGCAAAGCAAGGTCTCGAATTGGAGAAACTGCAATTGGAGCCAGGAGAGACTGTTCATTGGCTACCTCGGGTTGAAGTCTGCACGTCGGGGGATGAGCGAAACTCAATGTAACGAGATGTGGACTGTCTTCAGTATCCCCTGTCCATACATACCAACAAAGCTGCAGAAGAAAAAGCAGCGGGCGAAAATGTCAGACTCCCGGGCCGCTTACTGAGGTACAAGTTGGCTCCTGCCCCTCGTTCTGACCGCATGGCAACTTCGAGGCCATTTCGCTACCACATCTTCCCAAATACATCAATACCCTCGTTGAGCACATGGCGGACGCAAAAAACAGTCCCAAGGCGGCGTCTACAGGAGACAAATCAAAGAGCGCCTCCCCGAATAGGTCTAAGACTGCATCACCAGCGGGTGGACTTTCTCCAGGTTCTACTCGTGAAGAGGTCCTCGCAGCTGCCATTGAAGTCGACGATGCGGTAATTGTTCATCCACATCAATTTGTCGCACTCCATTGACTTGATGTTTATTCAGATCCCAGATAACGACTCTACTATTGAAGATAGAATGTAAGGACATGCAAGTGTCTTTTCTGAGGAGTTTAATTAATTTTACGATAGTTCTTCATACACCGCCTCCCTGACTTCCAGTGTAGTCGACTACCCTACGGAGAACGGTAGACGTTACCATGCTTTTCGAGCTGGAGGTATGTTCTTGATCTTGAAGAAGTCGTTTTGACCACCGAAAGCACCTTGATTTACGAATACTTGGCTGACTTCAGTAGCTTACTATGGCCCCAATGATGAGGTACTTGCTCGAGAATCGGGTGGCGAATTTTGCTGATGGGCCTCCCCTAGCAAGAAATGGATCGGCTTGACTTCAATCATATGCTCATGACAAAAGCGATTGGAAATAAGCTCTTTCTGGCTCCGATCGATGCTGAAAAAGTTCATAATGTCCTCGACATTGGGACAGGCACCGGCATCTGTAAGTTTATCACCCACTTCTACGCGCAATGAATGCCTTACGTTTTCCTAGGGGCTATTGAAGCAGCAGAAATATTCCCCAATGCCAAGGTAAGCACTCCATATTTCTCAGTCGAGATCTATGTTCCAAGATCTTCTTTCCAACATGAACTGACCCCCCAGTCTGGTAGATCACTGGGAACGATCTGAGTGCCATTCAACCCACTTGGTAGGTTTTGTCCTACACACCTTCCCAAACAAAATCATTGGTTTATCATAGATACAGGGTTCCGCCTAATGTCCATTTTGAGGTCGATGACGTTGAAAGTCCTTGGCTCGGCTTGAACGGATTTGACTTCATCTTCTGCAGGTACATGCTTGGGGCCATTGCAGACTGGCCAAAGCTGATGGAACGGGTCTACGAGTAAGTATGAGCGGTTGAGATAGTGAATGTTTGTTTCTAATTACGCCTAGGAACACCAAGGACGGTGGATGGGTCGAGTTCCAGGATTACGACCTGAGCTTCGTGTCCGACGACGGCAGCCTCACAGATGAGCATGAGACCATGAAATGGGTACAGGGATTCATTAAGGCTTGCGAAACAATAGGCCGCAACGCATGCCCCGGGCCTCATCTGGAAGGATGGGTCAAGGATGCTGGGTTCATCGACGTCGTGCATCAGCGGTTCAAATTGCCAATTGGACCATGGCCCAAGGACCCTCATTACAAGGAACTTGGAATTATCAATCTAATCCAATTGATGGACGGCGCAGAGGCATTCACTTTCAGGATCTTCTGCGACGTCTTGGGATGGACTCGTGATGAGTGTATCGTCATGCTTGCCAAGGTCCGCAACGAGTTGAAGTCTAACACCTTCCACGCTCGCATGGAGTTGTGAGTATAACGTCTTCCCTGAAATCAACCTCACATCATGGTCTAACGTGATGCTATCACCAGTCATGTGGTATATGGCAGAAAGCCGTCAAATTAGAAATCATTATCTCATTCCAGCGGGCTTATACACCCGCTGTGTTCGTCTTGATCATGGCATGATTCATGAACTTTTGCGATAATCTTCGTTTCTCGATACATGAAAGCTAGCGATCTAGCCTTAATTGATCAAGCCATGCCGGTGGAGTCTCCTTAACCTATGCTTGAATTAAAACCTACGTGAATACGCCGTCACTAATTGAGAGGATCATTCAAGCTATTTGGAAGGGGGAGCGATGTAGTGATGTCAAGAGCTGGTCTTCCGGCATAGGCCAAAGCTTCACAATGAGCGGAGCGGTGATAAGTTTGTGTCCTATTTCAACTTATGCGAAGGAGATGACACAATGTCATGGCTCCATAAGATGCTCGTTGATACTCTATTTCCCGCTGTAGTGTGATGTCACATCTCCGTACGAACTTTGTTGCGTGTCCTTTGGGTCCGTCGGCTCCTCAGTTGTGTCGCCCTTGGTTCTTCTGTACGGTCGGTAACGTTTCATGGGATAGGCAAGCCTGCCCATGTGGCTGTCTACGAACTTTGCGTTCTCGTCGTTTTCCTTTAGACTAGACTCAAGAAGCCTCTTCAACCCCCCTAGTCTGTGTTAGTAACATCGGATGAAGGAACATAAAGACGATGTTGTACTCACTCAGGATACTCCGTGCCACATCGAAAGTATTGACCAACACCAATTGAAAAAAGAAAGAGACGAGGAAGATTGGCAGAAGAAGTATGCCCATAACCAAACGAAAGTACATGCCCCAATTGATGAACTTTGGATGCTTCAGGTCGTAGTATGCCGTCAAGACTCTCCGCGCTGGCAGTTCAACGAAAAGATACCCTACCCAGAACCAAAAATGCCAAGATTGCTCGTCTTCGTGAGACCGGATTCCACGGCTTGCTTGCATATTAGTGCCCTTAGAATGGCCCTCAGAAGTCTCGGACCCGGCCTCTTCGGCCTGCCTTGTCAAGTTCTGCGTCTTCACCAACTTTCGTCGATGGCGATTGAGTAAAGGGCTCCCCTCCATTTTCGACAAAGAGTAACGGTTTATACTTTCTGAAACCACTTCGACAACCGAATTTAGTCGCTTAGCGTTGGCCAACGCAACAACAGTGACGAGCAGCGCCACAACGGAACAGATAATCATTGGAGGTATGACACTGCTGGGTGGCTCTTCGCTCATCCCAAATATACTGGATGCGAAGCCAAGCGGCAGAAATACGACTGTGACGTAGGTGAAAAATCGGATGTTCTCAGAGCCACGAAGGTTTAAATCGTCGCGAATTTGCTGCTGACCCCTTCTCAACGTCTCCTTCAGTGACTGAATCTGAACATGTAGGCGATGCAGATCCCGGGTTCGACGGCGTGTGGTTCCTTCAAGCTTTCCAATATACCGTCGATATTTTCTCTCATCCGTGCGTGTCCAGCGTGGCCTCTCTTGGCCTCGGTCTTTTTCGCGTGTCTCCCATTTGGATATGGTGACCCGCATGTCTGATAAATCTTCATCCAAAACCTGGAGAATTTGTTGAAATCTTTGCCATTGCTCGCTGGATGAGAAATAGTCTTCGCTGTTGAGAACAGAGAACGGAATTGCGCCATGCTCGACTCCAAGCTCCTCCTTTATAGTGTTGAAGATCATCTTGGTGCTGTCGACAAGCTCTTCCAGAATCCGGTCAAAAAGATGCAGCTCCAGGACCTTTCTCTGCCTCCAAGCATTGTTATCCTGCACGAGATGCCCTTGGTCACCCCATGGAAACTCTCTTTCATTCTTTTCCCTGGCCCAGTAAGTCGGAATGGGCTTGCCGCCAGGAATATACTCGATCAGATGACATGTCCAGTGTCTGTCAAAGAAGTCACCGATAAATCGAAACCCTACAGAAGCTCTCACAAGTCTCTTTGGGACGCTCGCGGGAAATTCATCGATGATTTCTTTTGGAATACCAACGATAGACTTGTAATTCTCCTCCACAAGCTTGTAGAAACTGAGGTGAAGTTCACTCTCCCAAGTGTTGAGAACCATTGAAGTTTCATCAAGGAAATGCTTCTCATACTGATGATGGCGTTCGAAGAAAAGAGAGATGGCTTGTTTCTCTTCCGGTGCACTGCTCGTGATGTAACAAACAAGGGCCGTCTCATCGTTCGCTGCTGGAAGCCAAATGAATCGTTTCTTGGCCTTGGAAGCTGTCCGAGGTAGAGACAACAGATACCAGAGCTTGTAGTTACTATTGACCCCGCGGAAGGTGATGTTGTTTTCCCGCTCGTGCTTTTGGAGATTCTTTTGCCGCAAGACATCTGCGACAAATGCCATGTTATTCGAGTCATCCTCGAGAGCATTTATCGGATGTGGGCGTGGTATATCTGTCCAACTTCTACTCAGAAGTTCTAAGGGGTCCTCTGAACTTCTCTCTGGTGGATCATCCCGATTGCGTCGTGACGCCGTCCGCAACAACATAGTGTACTCATCGGCCGCTCTAGTTATGAGAGCTCCAGATGTATCCATCTCGATATGCTCTAGGAGCTTCTCTGCCTCTGCATTGAACTGAGCGGGGGTCTGCATCTCTGTGACAAAGAATGTGGGGTAGTTGTAAAGCCACTCTTCATCCAGGTCAACAATGCTGCTTTGATCAATGAGACTGTTGAAAGGGATGCTTTTCTTCATAGAAATTGCTTTGGATGCTTTGACCTTGACACCTTTCTGAGGCGCTGTCGAGCTGAGCTGGGCCTCTGCTACATCGGGGCTGGGAGCTGATAGCATAGGCAGTCTGGTGTTTCGATCTGTCTGTGCAGGCTGCCTCTTTGGCTGCATCAAGTTCAAGTCTGCGACTTCTTCCAAGAGATCATGAGTGGCAAGCGCCTTTGGTTGCAGGACGGAAGAAGGTTCAGGCGGTTTCTCAGATCCTTTAACTTCCGCGTAAATCTTCCAGCAATGAGTAAGAAGGATGAATGGTATTTCGAAGCTGGCGTGAAAGTAGAAGTCCCGGTCGTTTTCTCTACCGAATAGTGTTGATTCTTTTGTTGTGCTATCCAATAGCCCGTAGAATAATCCGTTCGGACTCGTAGACCCAAAGAGGACTTTCAGTGACGACTTAATCAGTTCTTGTGGGGATCGCTTGTTTATGCTCATGTTACGAGTTCCAAGCATGATCGCCAGGGCATAGCGGATTGAGTTGTCCCATCCTGTTTCTGAGTTCTCATTGTGATGAACCTGAGCCTCAATGGTGTTCTCCCAGACTTCATTGAACGAAGTCCTTTCTAAGAAAAAGTCTCTGTTGATGCCGTAGAAAAGTGCCGTATCGCTGGCATGGAAGAGAAATCGCGTCTCTCTCGGAGATCGAGTCATTGCCAGCATGCGCTTCTTGGACATTTCGTTTTCAGCCGTGAATCGCCGAAGAATATCCCGTTGAACATCACGAGAATTGAATCGTCTGAGCAGCTTCTCATCTGCCAAGAGCTGATCAAGTTCAATCTCCGTGCGAGACGTGAGGCTCGTGTTTAGAGCCCTACGTTCCTTCTCATCATCGTGTGATATTTTCTCTGCTGAAGTCTCTCGAAGGTCGTCCTCGATCAGCTTCAACGCCCTCCAAACCCATACGTGCTCACTGAGCCTGTATTTATTACACCCTTCGTCTTGCGAGTGTGGCCATGCACGGGAACCACGCATGTCGGCTCTGTCAAGGGCCACGATCCAGGGCTTCGCCACTTCCTCGATGATGCTACGCGCTAGTTCAGAATCCTCTTCGCTCTGGTATCGATTGGCAAAATCGAAAACCTTGATTATTTGAAACGGCGTGTCCGTCAGGGAGTCATTTGGCATGAAAGACTCGCTTTCCTCGATACGAGGCATAATGCTTCCTTTCACCCAATAATTCGCTGAGAAGCACTTTGAATCCGTCCTCTCAACTTCTGAGTCAAGCCACATTAAGTGACCACGGCAAACTAAGTCGACCCTCTTCTGCAACAGACTATACGAACTCATTTGGTCTTTGCCCTTCGTTGCCATCAATCGCTCCGAAATCTCGAGCAGGAAGCTGAATGCAAAACTGCAGCTACTTAGTAAAACGTTCTCTCGGGCAACGAAAAAAGGCTTGATGACAGACTATGACTTACAAACTCGCGGGAGAAGAAACACGGTGGCCTGACATATCCCCACAAGTCAACGCAATTGGAACAATGCCTCCTTCTACCCCAGGCTCTCGCAACGGGATGGCGCAAACTGACAAGATATGCTCAAGCTTTCGGCGAGCTACAAAGTCGATGTAAATGACCGACTGCTTCACCAGGTCTTCATTCTCCAATGAGCCTTTGGGCGGGCCCCAAGGCAGTGATGGAGCCCATTCTCTAGTTTCCTGTTCGACAGCGCTGTCCTTGCTATCTCCATGAATATTGCCTTTGAAATCATGATTGCAAGGGGAGAACGCCGTAAAGAATTTCGATGCGTGTGCAAGATGCTTGCTGACATCTGTCACACTTGCCGGGACCATGAACTCTCTCCATTCAGCCTCAGAGTCAGTCCATTGAATCATTTTGTAGGCGCTCACTACCTCAATCGCGCTCCCGTGTTTAATATTTTGAGTGACCTTCTCTGGGCGCTTGTGATTAAGGGACTCAAAGCTAATTGCTTTGCCATCCACGAACATCGACATAACAACTGCAACTGTGTCTTGGTTGACGTCGGTTTCTGCATTTGAGACCTTGAAGTCCTTCGAGTATCCCATCATGCCTCCTTTGCTACTGTCAATGGTGGCGTTCGTAGGTTTCCGAGAGGTCTGGCGCAGAAGCTGCATTGGAGATTGATCTTTGGCCGGCCGCTTGTCTTCTGTTGATCCTTTTTGCTTCAGAGGATGGGCTAAAATCCATCCATAGGTGTGTGGGCCTTGAACTGGGACATGTCCGCTCCAGTCGTCATTGAATCTGTGCATAGGATTCAGGTAGTCCATATCCCGAATGTGCAATTCTTTCCAAAACTCCATTGAAACATCCACATCAGTTTCCCCAGTATTAGTGATAACACACTGCTGCAGAACGACCTTCTCGTGAACCATCCATTGTATGGTAAGCTTGAGGTTCTTGTCTTTGACTTCGTATCGGGGCCATCTATCATGGACGTAGCCCAAATGGCGACAGTTCTTCATACTAACACCGGAAATCCGCAGTCCGTAGGTGCATCTCTGTCTGGATTTGTCCCGTGATAAGAACAAGAGATCATCAGCTCTTTCTTGGACGGAGTAGGGCTCATTTGTTGTCCTGTGGTCTGCGCAAAAGATTCCTGAATTACCGGCGTCTAGGTAACTGCTGAATTGCATGAGATCTCCACATGCATTGACCGTAGCAGTAACCCCATTATCTCCAAAGGAAGCATGACTGTCCTGGTTCGGTGCATCTACCCAGGTGCTGATTTGGCTTTCGTTTGGACTGAAAGTATCGCTAACCTTGCCTAGCGTCAATGAGTGAGATGCTAATTACTTGTCGCGTATCTAGGTGTTGACTTACGATTGGTGAACCTTTGGAAGTCGACTTCACTCTCTGCTGGCACTTCACTGACGTCCCAAAATAACGACCCATTTGCCTCAATGGCAGTTACGTCAGGCTCGGTTGGCGAGGACGGCTGTCCATCGTGCATTGCCATGATCACAGGAATGCGGCAAAAACCAACGGGAATCGGACGAACCGCGCGGTGCTGGATTTCTTGCCAAAAGCTCGGCGGGGCCCAGCCGCATTAAATGCTCGGCACTGACTCTGAGCTGTCATTTGAATGTGCGGCAGAAACGGGGCAAGGTGAATTGACGGTGGTCGGTTGGATCAAAAACAACTTGGCGGGCTTCTGTTTGGCTCGCTTTGCGCGCAATATGTAAGAGCATTTCCTAAGTCGGCGTCTTACTGCATGTTATCCCTGTCACATTCAAGGGACACTTGCAGCTTTTGGCAAGGCTGGGCGAGATTGATAGAACTTTTCGTTGATTGAAGGCAGGACTTTTAGCAGGCCGGTAAACGAGTAAGAGGAACAAGAGTGCAAAAAGGGGTACTGTATCCGTGACTGTTACTTCGTGAAGCATACTCTGCATGGCCGCCAGAGGAGGCCATTCGCTAGGGAGTGTTCATCCAACAGCTGAGGGGTTCCCCAAATAGATCTTGGCGCTTGGCAGAGATACACCGCAATTTTGGTTGGCTGGACTCAGCGACTGTTTCTGCAGCCGTCTGCAAAAGATCTAGATTGCAAGTGGGAAAGCGAGCCAACAGGGGATTGCATCGGTCGAAAAGGGCCACACCTGGACCTAGAAAATGCGCGTTGTTCGTTCCACCACTTTTTGAAAGTGGAGTTGCACCCTTTGCACCCTTGTCGTCCCCAGCGATTGGTATGATCTCCATCAAGTTGATCACAGCCTGCCTCAGTAGTGTCGACCACGCTGTTAGCAGCTGTGAACAGAGCTATTCTCATGTTGACAAGACAAGATCGAAGATGAGAAGTCTAATATTCAATTATCATATGGACATTCTTGTTGCTCATCAACCATAGTCTATGGAGTGCCATCCTGAGAAGAACGACTCCGGAGTGGTTTGAAGAGAGGCTTCGCTCGCACTATCAAAGGCTTTAATACAGGCAAACAAGCGCAGAGAATAGCACACGTGATTTCAGCAAGTGACCACATTGCCGGTTTTACATTCCACCACGTTCGATCCGGCATTAGATTGAGCCACTGCATTCTCAGAATGGAAATCGCTATTGTGCTGTTGAAGGTCAGCGAATGCTCTGCCATAGAAATAAATCACCTACAAGAACCCCAACATGAATACACCAACAACAACCACTTTTTGTGTGCGCGGCATTTGGAGCTGCAATATCTTGGGGATCGGCAGAGTTATGATGATGAAATCTGTGAAGATGTTGAAGGTGCCGTTGAAGTACCAAATAATCGCGATGTTTTTGATGCATTTGCTTTCAATCGTATGATCCCACACTGCGTCAAGGGGTATGCACTGCAAAAAGGCCACAAAGGTTTGAGAGAGGCCCCACAAGAAAATCACGACCATGCAGCCTATTAGAACATACCGCAGGCGTGATACCTCCAAGAGACGATAGTATTGCAGTAGAAACGTCATCTTGATGAAAATGATGGCGGCGAAATACAGCGACAAGGATACGAAGAAAGCCTTTGCCCAGCATCAGTCATTGATCCAATTTGAGGTGGGGCATTGGAGTAAACCTTGTCGTAGAGTACAAGTTGCTCGGTTGATAGCGTCCACTCATGCCTCCCAAAACCGTATGTAGTCACTGTTTCCCATGAGCATAGATAGCAAAGACATGATTATCACTTCCAACTTACTTAAAATCATTGTGATCGCACATCCAATGATGCAGCACTGAGTAACGGTAAGATTCAAGTTCAGGAAATTCAAGTTGGCGGACATGCTCACTAAAGATGCAACCGCCGCGCAATCATCCCAGCCGAGTTGCTTGATCAAGCTTCTCGACAAGATTCTCATCCCTACCACAGCAGTCGAAATAGTCATGACTGCTGCAGCTACCCCGATGATGACGCCAGACTTGTCATCACTCTCCTGGCCATCAATAGTGGATCTTGTTGCATTCATGGCGACTAGACATTAGCTGCGAGGTGAAGTCGCAGCAGAGTAGGCAGTCACACAGGCCAAGGTGGACATGGAACTGATCAAGGAGTGATGATTGATTTCAATATGGGTCCTCGTGCAGGTAAAGTCGAAATGTCAGTCCTTGGGAGCGACAAAATATTTGCGTAGCCAAAAAGAGAATATTGGGACGGAATGGAACCGACTGGACGTTCGTGTGACGATGGATGAACGAGGAACTCGCGATTTCGGGTCGAAGGCCCGAATAAAGAAACACAATTGACAGTGGCCAACATATGTTACCATAGACCAGCTTGACCGTTCGTCATGGATCAAAGAAATTCGATGTCGTTAGCGGCACTTGATAAATCGGTGCGGCGCCACCGGGCTGATCTAGATTTGGTCTCACATTCAGGCCTACCCTCTTAGGTTCGCATCTGTTCCGGAAGCAGCGTGATTTGCGTGACCGCTTCCGGCTGGCGGGAATCGAGTGGCTTTCTTGTCTAATTTCCCTCTCACCAACACAATGAGTTCTTCCAGTAGTAGCATGGCACTGCAATTCATTCTTCTCAATCAAACATAGCAAGTCTCAGTCATTCCTGTGGTATAGTTCCCAGGTCTAGTTTCTTCACCTACTGAGGTATCCGTTGCTCTATTTTGTGTGGAAGGACCCAGCCACAGCGGCTCGATTCTCTGCTATCATCAGACTTTGCTGATTATTCTGAGAGCCTCAACTCGAGAGATTGTCCCAGAGTGAGATATCTGCACCTTCAGATGACGACAGCTCGAATCAGTGAGCGCCGATAGATGTATAATTGAGCAGTGAGGACATCATTGGTGCCCGCCCCAAAGTTAGGCAACCAGCGACAGGGGGCCTGCAAAATAATAGCGAGGCAACCAGTGTACGATACGATGAAAAAGAAACATGTCAGCGCGCATGATAAGACGCCTTATGCTCCCGCCGTTATGGGTGGGCCTAGTGTCTAAACCAATCAACCGCAGGATGTCGAAGGTACTCGGGCGGCTGCTCTGATGGGTCGCAAAGAGGCAAACTACTTTTCCAATAATAAAAATGTCGGCCAGATCCCAGGAAGTCTGATAATGTAGCTCTGAATTGGTAACAGCAAACGCCCATTCGGAGCTTGTGCTAGTCTCGTGCAGGCGCAGCTATGTCAACCCAAAAGCAACCGAGGCGGTTTGCCCTGCTCGTCGGGATCGACTGCTATCTTGCGGGAGACGCAAGAAGATTCAGCAGTGGCCGCTGCGTCTCGATAAACGACCTCGAAGGATGCGCAAATGATGTCAATATCATGAAAGAAATTCTGAATAACGATTTCGGGATACCAAATCCAACAGTTCTGACGTCGCCTCCTTCAATACAAGGGGCTGAGCTTCCAACCTTCGCCGGCATTGAGAAAGCATTCGATCACATTTATGACTGCACGGAGTCCGGAGATATATTCTTCTTCTATTTCTCTGGACATGGAGCACGACTAAGGCCGATACCTGGATCGCCTACTGGAGCAGCTTTCGATCCTTCCCTGCTACCTATGGACTTCTGTCTAGGAGAGCCAGCTATCCGTGGATGGCACCTCAACCAGTGGTTGCAGAAGCTCAGCTATAAACAAGTCCAAGTCCTTGCCATCATTGATAGCTGTCATCTGGGTGGCTCAGAGGAGTCTAGTGAGCGGTACAGGGCCCCCCTCAATTGGGATGCGATCAATTTACTCCCGCAAGATGGGCTAGCGGTCCATGACATCCATGGCGCCGGTCAAAATCAGCCCAGCCCTCAAACATCATGGTCTATGTTCCCAGAGACTTTCACGTTGATAGCAGCTTGTGAGGATGATGAAAAGACTGCAGAGATGCTAGTTGAAGGAAGTTGGGTTGGCGTGTTTACGAAAACGATTGCCGACATCTTACGATCATCCAAGGCTGACGAGGAAAGCCTGACCTATCGTCACCTAAAGGAACGTCTGGCGAGAAGGCTCCCAGCGCAGCATTCTGTAGTTCATGGCCGAGACCGGCTACCATTCTTGGGCGATGGACGGTTTCGTCCACTGTCACATCTCATCGCGTGGTTCCAGGATGGCAAAGTTCATCTTCCCATTGGGAAAGCTCACGGGGTCCACAGCTCTTCCGAATTCGTCCCCATTTCGGCACCTGGCAGATTTGCTTTTAGAATGGACTATATCGAAGACTTCTACTCGGCGGTTCGCCTTCAGCCCGAGGTCTGCGAAGCTCTGAATAGAGATGATTTTCGAGTCGTCGCCTTCCGATGGAGCTTAGGAAGCCGACAACTACGTGTTTCCTATGACGCCACTGTCAACAGTACGCTCCAGGAATACATCCGGAACGCCGTGAAACGTCGTATTTCCAGTGCGGTAGAATTTGCTGTAACTGGCCATTCTGACAAGCGTCATTCAGACTCTTTGCACATCAATCAGCAACCTTGTGGCGGCTTTCTCATCCAAAGGCCGACACATCTCATGGGCTACGAGGGACTAGCTTATGACTCTAGCATCAGCGCCAACACAATCGATCATACCGCAGAAAAGGTCGCGGATCACATATTGCGCGTTTCTCTTTTCGAACAGGCTCTCCAGCTTCGAGACAAAACATCGCAGGGGCCCAAGCCGTTCGATGCACTTATTCAGCCAGTTCATGGCATCTCTGCCATGGGTTCATTCCCCCACAACCAGAAATTCGTATTCAGGTTTCACAACAAATGCGAACAAGATCTATTCCTCACCATAATAAATTTTTGCCCCGGGTTTGGTATTCGACAGGGCTTTCCTGAAGACGGTCTTTCGGCAAGGGTTAGGGCGCATGAGACCATCGCGTTCCCATTCACCATGAACATGGCCGATGAACTCAAGATGCCAGCGATGATCAACGAGGAACAAGTTATCCGAGACATTGTACGCATCATCGTTGTTCAAGGCGGGGGGGTACCCTGGAAAAGCCTGGAGCAGCCCAACATCTGGAGCTCTGGCCAAGAACGAAGTCGCGGCCCGACGCAGTACAGTGATTGCGTTGTTGTGGGCAAGCATCGAAAATGGTGGATGGTTGATCAAGAGATAATCACGATTACAGACGGGCTGAAACCTGTACCACAACACCCGCTGGGACGTGCTCTGAGCTCCTTGGATGAGCGACTGAAGCAAGCTATGCAGCAGTTTCGTTTGGGTTGTCAATTGTATCTCAGCTTCTCGCGCACCGGCACCATTGAAGATATCAATCATGCCATCCGCGAAATTCAGCACGCTATCGCCAACACTACAGGTGCCGGGAAGGAGGTTGAAGTCATGCGTGCGACACTTGGAGAGATTGGCTTTTCTCTCAGCCAAAAATCAGCACATATTGAATCCGTCGAATATCTCAAAATAGCTGTGGAAGCAACGAGAGCATCTGGTCTCTGTGGCGTTTCTCGCGAAAAGCTCCTGAACCAGCTGGGAACACTTCTGGGAAGATTGTTCGTATGCACAGAGGACTCGGCACATTTGGAAGAAGCCATTCGGGTTACCAAGGAAGCAGTTTCTGCTACCAATGGCAACTATCTGGAACAAGCCACGGCCTTGATAAATCTCTGCAATCGATTGAGCGAGAGATTCAAACATAGTGGCCTAGTATCGCACCTTGACGAGGCGATTGACTTTGGCCGCGAGGCTATGGAGAAAACACAGCGCATCCCCCAATACTGCAACATTCAAACATCGATTGCTGCCAATCTTGTACTGTCATTATGCGACAGATTTTCAGTCACAGGCCGAAACGAGGACCTTGACGAAGGCATCAATCTGTGTGCAATCGCTGTCTTGCAAGCAAGTCCGAGTGATCCTAACCGTGCTCTCTGGCTCAATAACCTCGGTCTCGCGCACAACCATCAGTATTCTGTCTCGAAGAATATGAATGATCTCGATGAAGCTATACGGGTGACACAAGATGCTTTGACTAGCATCCCTCCCCAGCATCCGGCACGCAATGGAATCATCTTTAACTTAGCCTCACGGCTCAGGGACAGGTCACGCTCTACAGGATCGATACAAGACTTGAATGAAGCTGTGAGGTACTTTCGGGAGATACAAGTGTCAGAGGACACTGGCGGTATTATAAGTCAGACGATCGAGAGATCAAAACGACTAAGTCTCTTAGGCGTTTCTTTGGGGGAACGATTTGAACAGACCCATCAACGTACTGACATCGAAGAATCTGTCAAGATTTTGAAAATGTCCCTTGCAGCACAGCCGAAAGGATCCACTGAAAGAGGGGTACGGTTACAGAACGTGGCCAATTCGCTACGTTCGAAATTTGAGCTGTTGAGAGATGTGCAGGACATTGAGGAGGCTATCTCTTTACGAAGACAAGTTCTTCAAGGGGACTTCGACTTCGGTTTAGATCGCGAAGAGCTTCTGGAGAGTATGGCGGTTGATCTGCATCTGAAGGCCATGAAGACGAAGTCCTTGGTGGATCTGAAACAAGCCATCCAGGGCTGGAAACAAACAATTGCATCAACCTCCGAAGGTCAATCAGAGAAAGCGAGTCGACTCGAAAGATTGGCAAAGGTGCTTTTTACCAGCTTTAAGATAACCGGAGACACATCCAATCTTGACGCAGCGGTCGATTCTTGTCGCAACGCTCTATCAGTGGCGACGTCTCTTAGCGACTGCATCGATATTCGACGAACTTTGTCCAACTGCTTGTCCGCAAGGGCGTCCCATACAGGAGCTATGAAAGACACAGATGAGTGCATTGAGCTCTCCGAAGAGACACTGGAAAATTCTGCCATTGAGAATTCCGACAAGCGCATCTTTCTGAGCAGTCTCGGGTCTTGCTTCCAACTTCGGTACTCAACCACCGGATCAATGGACGATCTCAACCAGAGCATTCGTTTCAACAGGGAGTCAATGGATATTTCGCCCGCCGATGACGGCCAGAAGCCTTTCGGAGTTTGCAATGTAGCAACAGCGCTCCTTACCAGATTCCAACGAACAGGACAAATGATAGACATCAACGAGGCTATTAGACTCCTGAAAGAGCTGCTTTCTACTTGGCCCGGCGACGTGGAAGACGAGATCGTATTCCGAACAAACTTGGCCGGTCTTTTGGCCGAAAGGTTCGTCAGAACATTGAACTTTCATGACATTGACGAAGCAATCAAACTGGCACGACAAACCATCCCGTACAACCATGCAAACAGGCCTTCTCGCTTGAATAACCTATCCGGCCTTTTGCAACGGAGATACAAACACAGCAAGCAACTAAAAGACCTCACTGAAGCGGTTGAATTTTCCAGGGAAGCCGCTTTGACTATGAACCGCAAAAACCCCAATCAGGCCGCGCTTCTTTGCAACCTCGCAGTTGTTCTCGATGAGAAACATCGCATTTCGATGGCATCGGAGGATCTGGATGAAGCAATCCGCTTCGGCAAGGAAGCTGTTGAAAACACTGGGCTTGACCATCCAGAACGAGCCAGAAGGATTTTTTTCCTTGGGCTCGATCTTGAGCATCGATATGCACACTCCAGAGATCTAGATGACCTCGAGACAGCCAAAAGGTTCCACCTTGAAGCTCTGTACGCCACTAACAGCGGGGTCAATGTGCGCATACACGCAGGCCATCGGTTTATGTCTATCTGCGACATAGCTGCCCAACACGACGAGGCGTTCTCTGCTGCTGAGACCGTTGTAGCGCTCATTCCTTTGATGGCATCTTTGAGCCTGCCGCCCGCTGATAAGCAACATTTTCTTTCACAAGTTGTTGGACATACCTCTGATGCTGCAGCCATTGTTCTCGCAGTGGGCAAACGTCCAGCATTTGCTGTCGAACTGTTGGAGACTGGTCGGGGTGTGATTGCGAGCACTCTCCAAGACCTGAGAGCTGATATCACGACCCTGGCAAGATTTGATCCAGAGCTGGCCAGACGTTTCGTGGAAGTCCGCAATAAGCTGGATGCTCCGATAACTGTCTCGTCCACGGAAGCAGACCTTCCTATCAAAAGTCATGGTAGGATTGTCGAAGCCTTTCCCTTCGAAGGTGACCAGCGCCACGAGGCTAGTGGTCAATTGAGCGATTTATTGACTGAGATCCGCGACGTTCCTGGATTCGAGAGATTTCTTCTCGCCGGGACTGAGACGCAAATGAGAGAGGCAGCTGCTGAAGGTCCCATTATCATCATCAACGTGGGTGCTCATAGGCGCGACGCCTTGATCATCGACCAAAGCGGCATTCGTGCGTTGGAGCTCTCAGGCCTAAGTATTGAGGATATACACTCTCGCACAAATACTCTAGACTCGGTGAGGACACTTGAATGGCTGTGGGATGTCGTTGTCGGACCAGTTCTAGACTTCCTTGGTTTTACTGGCACGCCAGATGAGGGCATGCCGTGGCCACGGGTTTGGTGGATCCCAGCAGGCGTGCTCGTGCGGTTTCCCCTTCATGCTGCCGGCTATCACCTTCGTCGCAAGTCAGAGACGGCCATGGACAGGGTGATATCGTCGTACAGCTCTTCTGTAAAAGCCATCACAAACGCTCGACGACAGCGGCTCCTTGTTGATGGGGACCCCGGGTCAGGTTCAAATGCTATCCTCGTGTCCATGTCAGAGACTCCAAGACACTCGAGTCTTCAGCATGCAAAGAGGGAAATCGAAGAGGTCAGCAAAATCTGCTCATCAATGGGCTTGCCGTTTGAACATCCAGAGAGCAACAATCGAGATGTTTTGGAAGCTCTAGACAACTGCAAGGTCTTTCATTTCGCTGGGCACGGAGGTACTCATCCTACAGACCCATTGAAAAGTCTCCTTCTCCTCAAAGACTACGACAGCCTTCCCCTGACCGTCGGAAGTCTGCTTGACAAGAACCTTCAATCGAAGAGACCTTTCCTCGCCTACCTTTCGGCATGCGGCACCGGTCAGATCAAAGATAAGAACTCTGTTGATGAGAGTATTCACTTGACCAGTGCTTTTCAGCTTGCGGGGTTTCGACACGTTGTTGGTACACTCTGGAGCGTCGACGACGCGGTGTGTGTGGACGTTGCAAGAGCCACCTACGAAGCGATCCAGGAGCATGGATTCAGAGACACTTCTGTGAGCCTAGGCCTTCACCGGGGTCTGCGATCGCTACGTGATCGATGGGTGGCTAGTGAGACGGATCCCACGGTTCCTCGTCGGGACATCAAAGTCCCTCGGTTCGAAGATCGCAGATTGCTGTGGGTTCCATATGTGCATTACGGCGTCTGAGTGTCTCTGATGGGTTTCTGGAAATCCGATTTTTTTGTTACTTCGTTCGATATGTGCGATTCGTGTAATCAAATTGAATAGCAATGTTGACTACCTACCTTAGTACCTACTTACCAACAACCTTTTCCTCACTGATCCAGATTGAAGTGCTGCTTAGTAAGAGCGTAGGGGAATGCTTAGATGTTTACAGGCAGCCATAAAATGACCCGAATTCCCCAACATTTCAGGTTCATAAACACCCAAGCTAAAAGAGTGCAGCCATGAACTGCCTTGGCCAACATGACGATCATCGAAATTGAAGTGATTTTCGACTTTGTCTGCGCGGTAACTGATCAACCCCCACATGTAGACATTCATCCAACTCATTTTCCTGACTGACTCTCAGTGGTGCTACATTGGCAAGCGCAAACTAGACCACGCCATCTCTCTCTACCAAAAGACCTACCCAGACGGCAAAAACGACACGTTCTCCATCGCGTGGAAGCTGTACTATCTGCACTACAACACACAGCCTCACAGCGTCGATAACAGCGAGGTGGCAAAAGTTAGGCTGAGCGACATGTCGCCAGAGAGGCAGGCTGCATTGACGCAGTGGATGGAGCAGATTGGCCGCTCTTTCAGCGTCAATTTCAAGTGGGGAGGCAAGATCGGGCCTGACACGCGTGATGCGCATCGACTTGTGCGTCTGAGCCGGTCGAAAGACGCCAGTGTGCAGAGTTCACTGATTGATGGCCTTTTTGCGGCCTGTCACGAGCTTGAACAGGACATTTCTGACATCGAAATTCTTCAAATGTTGCGACTGGCGCTGGTATGAGTGGCGTGGATGTGAAAAGGTTTCTCCAATCCACAACGGGACTTGATGAAGCCAATGAGGAAGAGATAGAGACCCGTGAGCTAGCTGGCGGCTCGGGTGTTCCAACTTTTTCTTATTCAAGGAGTTCACCGGTTGGATGACGCTCAGGATCCATCGGACTTCTACGAAGCATTTGTCACAGTGAAGGAGGCTGAACCGACGCAAGGCATCTGAGTCGATCGATACATCGCAAACTGGGCTGGAAACAGAGTTCTGATTAGGGACTAATGGATCTTGATTTATGATTGTGTTTGCTGCTACCGAAATAATGTCATACTCCATGCGCCCGTGAAATTGGCCTCAACTGGCATGATATTCGCAACCATTCCCGTGGAAACTCCATACCGAATGAATGCTTTCAGGGCTGGCACTCCTCATGGCGGTGTCTCTCCTTGACTCCAAAGCATACCAGCTCACCCCGCTCATTGCCCATGAAGGTATCCTAGAACATTCGTCAGCCAGATAGAAGTCGGAGATGGAAAGGGGGCCTACCAAGTCAAGTTCAGTGTCCACCAACTTAGGCTCGACCCCAGCAGTCGGCCTCGGCCAGCAGCGGCAGCTGTACATCGTGACCCTGTCCGGGTCCTTGAAGCCGCAGTCCTGGCAGGTGCGCCAGAAGCGGCCGTCGCGACGGGCAACGAGCTTGCCGCGGCGGTTCTCGAGACACTGGCCGAGGCGGAAGCGGTTCTGGGACCATCCGCCGTTCATATTGCTGCAACAGGCCCAGACTATGGTGTCAATCAAGTCGCCGTGGATGTTGGTGCAGGTCTTGGAGAAGTTGTGGTAGCTGGCGAGGAGACGATTGTCATGGGCGTTATTGATGGAGAAGGTGCCGTTGGCAGAGACGTTGAAGCTCTCGACTGCCTCGACTGCCGCATTAGTTAAAACGGTAGAGGAAGGAACAGGGCTCGGCGAGGGAGGTGTGAGGGGACTGGTGAGGCTGGCTGCAGCCGCTGCGAGAATGGTCGTGCTGAATTGCATGGTGATGGGTGTTGAGGTAATGTACTGTTGTGATGTCCTGGAATGCGATTGTAGATTGAGCGTATTCTGTGCTGTTGCAGGTAAAGAAGTTCCAGGTATGTATGTTGAAGTGATGAGAAGATGTGGAGAGGAGAAGGTGCAACTGACTGAGTGAAGTCTTTAGATATGCTGGCGTGAAGATTCACTACGGAGAAGGACCGTTCGAAACTTGTCGTGCAAGATGATCTGTGGTCATTTCTCTCCATAATTTAGAGGTAAACCTTTTTGATGAATTTCAAAGTGGAAGCTAACGATCACTTTGTGTTTCCCATCAGATAGATCGTGACGAGCAAACCTCCCCTCCGGCTTCTATTTCAATGTCGAGCGCCAATGCATCGATGCGGACCCACCCGGACGACCGCGCCGGCCGCGCCGGCCCCACTACGGTGCATCCGGAGCCGAAACTCACTTCGGGGATCGTGCCCTTGCTGGAGAAGTGTCGTGAATCGACGGGATATTCCGGTTTATAGTATTGAAAGGATTGGATGATTATATCGACTCGATGTTAAACATTATACTAGTGAAAGGCCTTACTTTTAATCGCTGAGAACAAGAAACACACCCGCCCAAGTCTACGCAAAACTACCACGAAAAGCCCAACGCGTCCTCTAGACCATAGTACAAAGGACAGATGTAATCCGCCGTCAAAAGCGACGACACCGCCGTCACCCCCGTCGACGACCCAGACCCGATCAACCCCAAATCCATGCCCAGCAGCGAACCGCCCACCTTGGTCCACCCCACGCCGCCGGCCGGGTTCTTCGCGAACCCGCCCCAGACGCCCTGCATCCACGAGCTCAGCTTGGTCTGCTGCGCCGACGCGGCGCCCCACTTGGCATACTGCCCGTACGTGCCGAAGACCGACGGGATCTCGCTCGTGTGGTACGAGCCCGCGTTCGCGAAGATGCTCGTCGACGCGAAGGACGGGTCGTAGCGGTAGCGGTACGCCGTGTAGCCGTTGGAGGCGAGGTACGACGCGAGCGTGGAGGTCGTGCAGGTGAAGACGGCGTCGGTGATGATGCGGTCGGCGAGGATGTACGGGTCGTTGAAGCCCTGGAGGGCGTATTTGGAGAGGATCGAGTTCTTGGTCGCGGTGTCGGTGATGCCGACCATGGAGAGCGCGTCGCTCATCGCGCCGCTGCCGTCGTTCATCCCGTCGACGGCGAGGAACGCGCGCGCCTCGTTGAGGGTGGTGCCGATCATGACCGGGATCTTGGGCCACGTCTTGCTGGAGATGCTGGGGCGCACGTCCTTGGTCGCGGTGCCGTCGCCGGCGACGGGCGGGAAGACGAGCGCGGCGGACTCGATGTAGGCCTTGATCGCGGTGGCATCCACCTTGCGCAGGCAGGCGATATCAGCGCAGCTGAACTGCTTGAGGACCTTGTTGTAGCTGTCCAGTCCGGAGCCGAGGAGCAGGCTCTGCTGGGACTCCATGATGGCCGCGGCGAAGGGCAACGGGGAGGGCGGGTTCGCGAGGAGCTGCTTCACAGACTCGCCGCCGGCGGACTCGCCAAAGATGGTGACGCGCTTCGGATCGCCGCCGAAGGAGGCGATGTTGTCCTGGACCCACTGCAGAGCAAAGCGCTGGTCGAGGTAGCCGGCGTTCTGGGAGCCCGTGGCGACCTCAGGGGAGTTGGAGAAGCCGAAGATGTTGGTGCGGTAGTTGATGGTCACAACAACGACGTCCTGAGCGACGGCGAGGGTGCTGCCGTCGTAGATGGGCAGGCTTGCGGTGCCGAACTGGAGGTTGCCAGGGAAGATCCAGAACATGACGGCCTTCTTGGACGTCGGGGTGGCGGTGGGCGGCGTGAAGACGTTGAGGTAGAGGCAGTCCTCGCTCTCGACCGTCAGGGGCCCGGTTGGGTTACCGAAGATGGCCTTTTGGAGGGTCTGGGCGTTGCCGCTGTCGGTGAACTGCTGGATGCAGGCGGGCTTGAAGGCCGTCGCGGTGAGCGGGGTGGTCCATTTTGCCGGGGCCTGGGGAGGGGAGAACCGCTCCGGGGGCGACTTGGCGAAGGGGATTCCGAGGTATGTGTTTGCGCCGGGAGCTGAGGTGGCGCCGACGACGATGCCGGAGGCGATTGTTACCGACGGGGTTGCGGCTCGGGCGTTGTTAGCCGGGGCCGCGAGGGCTTGGAGAAAGAGGGTGGATGAGAGAAGGAGTGAGAGCTGGTTGAAACCCATGGTCGATGGAGAGAATATGGTTGGGTAAGACCTTTTGGGGAAGGAATGTGATGAAGCGAGTCGATGCTCTTGGTTGTTGGAATGCTGTGTTTCAAGGGCCCTCTCGTCTCTTCTTATATGAAATCCCCGTAATTCTCGCCCATTCTCACGGAACGGAGCCACCGGTATTCAATAATTCAACCGCCACAACGGACCATCGCCTTCTTTGTGCCACGAGAGACACACATCCGAGACATTCGCGCTTATCCCACCGAGCTGGTGCTATGACCAACACCAAGAAGCAGCCCGCCTGCCAGACACCGCCGCTTCCGGGAGGACGAACAGCCCGGATTCGGAATCTTCAACGGAGCTTGTCTCACTTCGTAAAGAAAGCTTGACGAAACAAACGACTAAGAGGCTCTGGCTTCTCTTTCAAGACCCTCGACCACGAGGGAACCGGGGACCGCACTGGGCAACGACCTGCCGAGTGACGCTAGGCGCAGCGGACTTGGCGTAGGGACAGGACTAGACCCGGTCTAGGCGGACAATGGCATTGGCGACGGCGCGAACCACGGCGCTGGGATGTGTGTAAGTGGACTGATGCTTGCGAGGTCTTCGGAGCATTAGAGGAGAGCATAGGACGAGGTGGCGCCGCTCATCCTTCTTGATGCCAAGCCGGGACACTCTCCATCGGGGAAACTTTGACGCCGGTCTCTTTGGGGATGGAGCTTTGATGGGGTCATGATTGGCGTATGTGCTGACACCGATTCATTGAGTATGTGCAATTGTGGCATCCCGGCAGCTTGGAGCTTCTCCCAAAGGCGTCTTCGATCACGGTAGTTCAGCCCGGAATCGCCTCCGATGCGTCTCTTCCAATGGCATCTCTCCATCATAGGCAGATGAGTGAGACACGAGCATCCCCGCAAAGGCATTGGGGTATTCTTGTTAGCGTGGAAATGCCCTTCCAGCTGTGGCAGTCCAACATCAACATCCCTTCCCGGCGACCTTGTCCACGATCCTCCCTCGCCCTCATCAAGCCTGAAAATGCGCCGTATCATACCCATTCTCACAAATACAATACCCGCTGAACTCCCCGTGTTATCCTCACCGCACCACCCGCCTCCCTTGCCCGCCCTCGAACACTGCGACGGACAGCTGCTCGCCGCCGGACAGCTGACGACGCAAACGTACTTTTGTCGGCTCGCCGTGTCGAGCACGCCGAGGCAGCGCGGCGTGCGCCCAAAGGAGCACGCGTTCATCTGGTCCGGCGTGCAGTTGCGGTTGGCGTCGTCGGCGGCGACGAGCGCCGCGGTTAAGCTGGTCGCTAGTACGGACGTAAGATGCATTCTTTGATATTTTGGGATTATGTAGGTTCTTGATGGAGGGTGGTTGAGATTGAGTTGCGTTGCGCTGCGATGAGGGAGATCGGATGAAGGAGATGGGATGACAGGTTCACGATCGACACTACCAGACATATCCATTCGTCCGGGTTTTGTAAACTTCGCTCACTCATCGAGCCGGTCGCAGTGCAGTGTTCAACGTCGTTTCGCAGATTCCAAAACGGGGTGTATCTCGCCGGAATAGTGAGAGGCGCTGACTCGGGAGTCAACATATCTTCAACTTATCTCCCATCTCACCACAAACCTTCCCCTTGCCCTCATCTCTATAGCTGCCCAGAGCTTCCCGTCTGCGACAACATAAAAAGCCTCTTGTTACCGACGGTCGGATCATGCCGAAGAAACCGCACACGTGGTCCAACGCCCGAACTCCAGTTCATCCAAAGCATTAGGTGCGACAGCGAAAGCTATGCAGGCTTAGACAGCAATGACAAGAGTCGTGGTGACTCGGCTTTTTGCACCCTCCAGCGGAGGCTCGTGCCGCGGACATCAAATAATCATTCACAGAGAGTCACGTTCCAGGAGAGATCAACTTTGAAGAAGAAAAAAGAAAGGTATCAAGATTATGTAGAAACAGGCTGCTCCCGTTTTCCCGCGCAAAGCCCGTATGAGTAGTCTATAAATCTAAGGTGTGTACATTATCACATTAAAGGAAACCTGGCGGCCGGTTTCACCAGCTCTCTCTTTCCTAGGAGGAGGTGCCGGCCAGGTTCTGCAACCTCGCGTACTCCGTTCTCAGGATGTAAAGGTTGAGCCTCAGGCCCGCTCCGCAGTATTGCGTGTTGTCGCCTGGACACAGTTTGTTGCACTGCGTGCCGGTCACGTTGGCAGCCTGGGTGGTGCCGCCGCTGCCGCCGTAGTTGAGGGCGTTCCCGCACCAGCACTCGCGCCCGTACTCGACGCCGGCGTAGAGCTTGTCGGAGCAGACGCTGAGGCACTTATTGATGGTCATGTTGACGTCGTTCAGGACCTGAGTGGGGAGGAGACGGCCGACTTGTGGCTCGGAGAAGCAGCCGTAGTAGGTGAAGTTCTGGTCGCCTTGGACGATGGCGGGGCCCGTCGCAGTCGGCTTCGCGGAGGAGGTGCTTGATGAGGGGCTCGAGGAGCTGGACTTCAAGGTTGAGGTCGAGGAAGAGATGAAGGGAGTGGAAGTCGCCGTGGAGCTTGAAAAAGTAGACGAAGTGGAGCTTGTCAAGGTGCTTGGGGCGGAAGAAGAGCTCGAGATAGAGGAAGAGCTTGAGCTCGAAGAGGAGCTAGAGGCTGTGGAGGAAACCGAAGCTGCAGAGAAGATGGAGGATGAGGACGAGCTAGAGGATGAAGAAGAGCTAGAGACCGTAGAGGAGCTGGAGCTTGAGGAACCGGAGCTTGAGGAGCTGGAGCTTGAGGAGCTGGAGCTTGAGGAGCTCGGAGCTGTAGAGGAGCTAGAAGACGAAGAGCTGGAGCTTGCTGCAGAGCTGGAGGCGGAAGATGAGCTCGAAGCGGTCGAGGAGCTGGAAGCCGTAGAAGAGCTGGAAGATGTCGCAGAGACAGAAGCTGCCGTAACGCCAGAACTCGACGTGGAGCTAGAGGCCAATGTAGAGCTAGACACTACCGTGGAGCTGGACGAAGACGAAATAGAGGCGGAGGTCGACGTGGAAGAGGAAGACGAGGCTGACGACGTAGTGCTCTGAGTTGCTGAGGAGCTAGAAGACGACGTCAGGGTCGAAGGTGAGGATGACGACGTAGACGATGTGACCGCCGCAGGGATGAGTCCAGGAGTGGAAGACGTGCTCGTCGAGAGAGTGGCGTTGCTGGAGGAAGAGGTGACAGTTGAGCTGGACGCCGAAAGAGCCGCGGATGTGGAGTTAGACGCGATCTTGTCCTGCACTGTCACAGCGGTAGAACTACTGGCTGAGGTGGATGCTGCGGTGGGCGAAGATGTCGTCGCGGTCGTGGACGAAGACACGACGGGAGAGTACATGTAGAGCTGGAGTCGGTTACCAGCGCCGCATTTCTGCGTTTTGTCCCCGGGGCAGGGGAACGAGCAGTCCGTCAGAGGCGCCTGGGTTGACGTAGCGTCCAGAACATTGCCACACCAACACTCGCGGCCATACTCAACGCCGAAATACTTGAGGCCCCCGCAGAAACCACCGCAGGTCTGGAGAGTCATGGTGTCGTTGGCATACGTGCGCGCCGGGAGAGCGCGAACGCCGTTGCCCTCTGTCCAGCAGCCCTGGAAGAGCCAGTCGCCGATGCGGCTGTTGGCGGCGGTGGTGGTAGCAGCAGCTGAGGTAGCGGTAGCGGTGCCGGTACCAGTCGAGGCGGCGGTCGTGCTCGCGCCGCTGGGTGCAGGTAATGAGCTGTTGAACTGGTACATGTTCAGTCTGTTGGAACCGCCGCAGTATTCGCTGCTGTTACCGTTGCACGGCATGCTGCAGTCCGCGGCGAGGGCTGGGACAGCGCCGGCGGCGAGAGTGTTACCGCACCAGCACTCTCCACCATACTCCATTCCGATGTAGGTGTACTTGCGGGCGGCGCAAGCTGTGATGCAGTTGGCGATGGTAGGGTTCGCGAGGTTGACCAAGTTAGGCAGGGCGCGGCTGTTGGTTCCCTCGCTGTAGCATCCTACGCTCGAATATTGGCCCACACCGGGGTTGACGACAGGATTAGAAGGATTCGTGGGGTTGGTCGGGTTGGTTGGGTCGGTTGGGTCAGTGGGCGTAGTGGTGTTGCCGTCGAACTGAAGAGAGTCGGCGAAGAGAGAGATGAACGAACCGCCCGCGTAGGTGCCAACTCCGTTGCCACCGCAGATCTGGTTGAGGTCACCAGCGCAATCGTAGTTGCAGTTGCTTTCATCAACCTCCAGTGTGGGGATCTTGGGGCCACCCCAGCACTCGTTGCGGTACTGCGTGCCGCAGAAGACGTAATTGTTGGCTGCGCAAGCCGCAAGGCAGGTGGCAGTCGTGGCATCGGCCTTCTGTCCGTAGATCTGTTGGGCGAGCTGACGGCCGGGGTTGTTCTCCTTGTAGCATCCGAGGTAGCGGTATTTGCCCTGGCCGCCGGGCAGAAGCGGTGGCGCCTGCTCTGAGACAGCATTGCACACAAAAGTGAAGAAGTGCTTGTCGAAGTTCGGGTCATTGGTGTTCATGGTCCAAGGCGCCGATCCAACGTAAGTGTCGACGTTCCACGCGGACTTCGGAACAGAACAGATCATGGTGGCTGTGGCGCTCTCACCGGGCGCAAGCTGGGTGCCCTCGGCCAGGTCCACGGTGTTAGCCGCCGAGACGATACCAGGAATACCGAAAGGCGGCTTTGAGACAGTCAGAATGAGCTTGACGCCTCCCGTGGGGGCGTTGTTGGTGACGCGGAACTTGAGGTTCCTGGACGTGTTCTCGGTCACGTTGCCGAACGTAAAGTTCTGGTTGGCATCGTATTGGACCCAGCCGGTGCCGTCGGGTGTCTGGAACTCGATGAGTGCGACCGGCGCAGCTCCGGCGGAGCCTGCGATGGTGAAGGACTTGCTGCCGCCGTTGGAGTTCACCGTGAGGTAGGCACCAAAGCTTCCAGCGACTGAAGAGTCGAAGGCGATGTTCACAGTGACGGCGCTGTTGGGTGCAATCGTGGTGGGAATGTTTGTCAGAGTGAACTTCCCGACGGTGAGAGCGGCAGTCTCGTGGTTCCATGTGGTGAAGGGACCCTGAGCGCTGGTCGTAGAAGACTGGACGTTGGTGATGGACAGAGGAGTGTTGCCCTGGTTAGAGATGATGACGGTCTCCGAGAGAGTGCCGTTGGATCCAGCGATGATGCCCTGGAAAGTGACAGTTGGGGGCGTGACGGCCAGCAGAGGACTGGAGCTCTCGCCAGTACCGGTCAATCTGACATGAGTGTTCTGACTGTAACCAGCGACAGCATTGGTGGTGTTGACAAGGAGATCGGAAGATACCAGGCCGACGGTGGTGGGCTTGAAGGCGACCGACACGTTGAAACTCTGGCCAGCCGTGAGGGTGCGCGGCAAGGTTCCAGCATTGGTGACGACGAAATCGTCGGCCTCGTCCAGGCCAATGTCTGTAACAGTGACGCCGATGAGAGCCTTACAAGTGATGGTCTTGGCCACACTCTGGTTACCGACGTTGACGGTGCCGAAGTCGTTGGAGGAAGTGCAGTTGACGGGCACATTGACGGGCGAGCCGAAGGCGTAGAGGTAGCCTTGAGTGGTGCCCTGATACATGATGCCATTGCCAAAGACGGCTCTGCCGAACTTGGTCGAGTACGGAACACTGAAAGACTTGATGAGATTCAACGCGCCATTCTTGGGCACGGCGTCATAGATTCTCAGTTGAGACCCTTGAACATCGAGCGTCCAGACGAGACCGGTGCCTGCCTGGCCGTTGAGGGATGTGACGGTGCCGTGACTGACACCGAGGATGCCGGCGTTGGCAGTGGGACTGGTGGTGACCTTGGTGAAGGCTGGGACACCGGCGGTACAGGAGAACTTGAAGACGTTCGTGGGGTAGCCGATGACGTTGATGTACATGTAGCCGCCCTCCAAGGGGTAGACACCAGCTCCGGCATACACCGAGTTGTCGTTCTGGTAGACTTGAATGACGGCGTCCAGTGAGTTTGGACCGTTGCGGTAGCCGCCCATATTGTCGAGGTTGATCCAGTACGTCTTGCCGCTCTTGCCGGTCACGACTCCGATGCGCTTCACATCACCGCAGGCGAAAGCGCTGGGAAGGATCTGCAGCGGACTAGTTCCCAGGTCCTTATCGGCGCCGTCCAACGCTTGCTTCTCCCAGGGCATGAAGAAGTCGTTCACAGTCAAGCTTCCGTCACTGCCGATACTCATGTGAACAGCAGCCTCCTCCATGGCCGTGGGAGGGCTGCGACCGCTGACAGGGATGGTGCTGAGCTGGGAAGCGTAACCGTTGCCGGTGGCGAAGAACATGGAGCCCGCATCGTCGGATGCGAGACCGCCGCCAGACATCCAGACACCCGCGCCGGGGGTGGTGGCAGGAACACCTTGACCCTGGGTGGCCCATCGCTCGACGATATTACCAGTCGTCTTGTCCCAACCAATGATCCAGCCGGTGAAGTTGTACTGCACGCAGTGGGAGGCGAAACCAGCGTAGACGTACTGGCCGACGTGCAGCAGAGCAGGGCGTTGGTGATGAATGCCACCGTTGAAGGACCTGATCGGGTTGTTCCTGGCGACAGTGCCCTCGAGGTTGACGGGGAAGTTGGGTCGTTCGGCGAGGGTGTTTACATCCAGTGCGTGGATGTAGTAGCGGCCGTTGGGGCGGCCCTGCGCGACACCTGTCTTGGTCTGGTCAAAGTATGTCTTGGAGGTCAAGTACAAAGTGTCGGTGGTCGGGTCAATGACACCGGTGGCGGTGATGCCGACGTGGGGGTTGACGTCGACGCAGCCTTCCAAGTCGGCGGTCAGGAAGGGGATGTGAAGATTGCGAGAGGCGATGATGGCGCCGGTCTTTGCATTTAGTTTGTAGACATTATTCTGTTGCGTTGCGACGTAGACGTATTGTGTGCCGTCGCCACCGCTGGGGGTGTAAACGAGAGGCTGAGAGAAGATCTGCTCGGGTGAACCGCCGTAGTTGCCGGGGAGTAGTGTCCGGAACAACTGGCCGAATTGGGAGCTCCCTACCACGGAGGGGTCCATGTTGTGGTTTCTTGATATCAATTCATGTTAGGTGCCATTCATGCAGGCGATTCCCCCAGAATGAGCAACTTACGTTTGGTAGCCGGCGCGGGAGTTGTCGCCTCCCCATGTGATGGTGTCGGTTGAGGCCAGGCCGTTGGCGAGGCCGACGAGGGCCGTCAACAGCCATGTTGTGAGAGGAGCCATGGTGAAATGGGCTGTGGTGCTCACGGACGCGGCTGGCCGTGGAGCTGTCGTTGGATTCGAAATGAAGGAAACCCGGACGGATGGGGATGAGGAGACTGAGGATCCATGTGCTCAGAGACGGGAGGGCGGCTCCTAGATATCAAGTTTTGCAAATGGCATGCTGGAGTGACGGGTTGACGGTTGACGGTGTTAGCGCAGGTAGCTGAAGCAGCAGCTTGTGGGCGCGGCCGCGTCGGTCGGCACAGCCCAAGCCAGCCCACGCGGGCGAAAGAACCGTGGACCCATCGTGGTGGATGCAGGGCCAGGGTAGCTCGAGGGCCGGGACCTTGCTTGCCTTGCCTGCCATGGGATGGGATGGCATGGCATCAGCCATATCCTTGCCATGTCCATGATCCAGTCCAGAGGAGGAAGAGAGCAACCTAGCTACTCGAGCTAGCGAGCCAGGGCCGTGACAGGACCCCCCAGACAGTTGGTCGTGGAGAGGGACGGAAGAACGGCGTGCGTCAGACCAGTGACTCGGCGTCCTTGTCGACAAAGACAGCAAGCGGGCACAACGATGGCGGGCAACGTTCAAAGAGCTTTGGGTTCTGGCACATGGCTGCCATCAGAAGCGCAGACGGGCGGCAACATGGGCCGTTTTGGCTTTGACAGAGTCGAGGCTAGCGTCGCAGCGGCATTGCCATTGGCTTGGCTGGATGCTCATTCTCTCGAGTCTCGATGAATCTTTTTTTTCCCATGATGGTCTGCCTGCGTGTGCTCCGGCGAGGGCGACTCGACCGGCATACCCCCTGACGATCGCGCAGGTTGGACTGGACGCATTGGCACTGCTGGGCAGACCTTGCTGCGAAATGCCATTATTTGGTGACCAGGCAAAGGTCGGCCATTAGGTGGTGCAAGGTCAGGCAAGGTAGGCAATGTACTGCTTGCTGCACGGCAGGCGGGCGAGATCAGCACTACTGCATCGTAGAAGGGCAACACGAAGAAGATGCCGCATGCAATGCAACCGCAACGTGCTGGGCTGCAGCTGCAGTTGGCTGGCTGACACCTTTGCCTGATGGACAATTAGCGACGTATTTTTTCCTGCGATATTGTAATTGGGGATCGACGCACGTCTGCGGGTGTCCAACGCCACCTCGTCCGGTGTTTTGGTCGACTGGTGTGGCACGTTGCAGAGAGAGGCAGACGCAGAGAGAGGCGAAAGTTGACGACGTGGATTGGGATGGATGAAAGAAAGAACGATGATGGTGGGAAAGTCGACTTGCCTGATTGAGAAAGCGCAGTGGGGTTCAGGGCAGATACGGTTAAATGAGATGCCCCACTCAGCGCCACCCCGGTACGTTCCTCACCCTCACTCAGCGAATACCTTACCTGAGTGAAGACCTTCACTGGGCTTGATGGGCTTGCTGGCGTTGCTGGCCTAGGAAAACACTTCACCAGCTTCCCTTGTCCTCCTCCCGCCGCCAGACTGGCTCGGTTTATTCGCCGACGACCCGGCTGCTCCACGCTGCTTCAGCTCCCAGGAAGCCTGACGCCTCTATCAAGTGAAATGTCCAATCAGAAGCAGAGACTGCGATGATCAACTGAGCATCTGAGGAAGAGATAGCCCTGGGCCCTGCCATGTGGTGGTTCGCCTCGAGTGGCCCTTTGTCCACTGTTCCCGTCGTGTTCTCCATCCCCCATCACACAGAGTTATTGTTCCCTGCGCCCATCCTGCGAAAGAGTCCACAATGTTATCGGGGAAACGTGGTCCGGGCGAAATACGCGAGTGGCCCGCCCGCCGGCCGCCCCTCTGGAGTAAACATTCCCGTCCTGTTATTCCCATGTGCTGACCCGACATGACCGTTGAGGCCTTGGCTGGTTCATTGTCTTCGGAAATCCAGACATGACTGCGATCGATGCAGGGTTCGACTGAAGATGACAGAAGGTCCCCGCTGTCTTGACTCTGATAACAGTGTCCCATCCATCCAGCAGGTGAATCACCAACGGCTATTGCCAAGCTGTTTCCCCCAAGAAGCAATACATGATGCCATGTCACCTACACCACAGCTTGCAGTGCAGCCGCAACTGCCCAATCAGCCAGCCAGTCAGCCAGCCGCTGGTTCGGAGCGGAGCTGTAAATAGCATCCTGCAGGCGCCTCTAGCCTGTCCAGCTCTAGCGTGTCAACACCATTTCGCACTTTTCTTCTCTTCTTCTGCGGTCCCTTCCTCTCTATCTCTCTCTCTGTAGGTGTCGGCCTCACTCTGATAGTGATCTCCTGCTAATGTCTTGGTAAAGCTCCTGCAATCAACACCACCATGACAGGCCTCGTCATCAGAGACAGGGAAAGAATGGTCCGTCGATGGAGCTGAAATATATTCCCCACTCATTGTTGTCGACGGCACACAAAGAGCTGAAGACCCCTAGAAGCTAGAGTTTCAGGGCAGGAACAACAAAAAGGAGACCAACGGCAATGGTGTCTAGCGGGCATCCAGGAACAACACGAACTTCGGACGCGGTTTGCGGTTCCTGCTCACTAAAAAGCGCCACAACCATCCATCCAACTGCCTTTGGGCCCGCTGTGCATCCAGCTCTGGAGCTCTGGTGCACCAGAAGCCGCCTAGGACGGCTCGCTAGCGGCTCTCGTATCGAACCGCCGGGACCTGGACTTGATCACGATTCCTCTTCCGTCGCCGTTTCCATGCTGCCATGCAGTCGATACTGCGTAGTATGCATAAACCATTGAATTCTTATGCTTTTTTTTTCCCAACATTCGCCCCATCTTTTGTTCCATCTCCGCCCGCCCTCCCGCTCTCTCCCTTTCATTATCTCCCTCTGGCCCCCATCAGCTTGCGACCCTGTGGCGGCAGACCGGCGATGTCAGCTCTCTAATTCTCCATCTCTGGGTTCCAGCCCTTCGGTTTCTCTCGCCACTACTGTAGACTACTTGAATATTGACCACGCGCCAAACATGACCATCCATGGATATCAGCTCTCCTCCATAGGCTCTATCTCTATCGCCTTTTCCCTCTTGCGGCCAAGTTCCGCCCATGGCCAACAGGCACAGTAAAAGGCCCAGCCCAGCCCGACATGAAGACCGCATGACAATCCCTGACCTGCAGCAAACCATTGAAAAAAAGAATCCCATTCACAAGTTTGCCAAGCACCCGAGGCAAGAAGAGGAAACACCCCGGTCGCCGAATGTCCGTTCTCAACACCAACGCGCCGCACCGTACTAGACTAAACCACTAAACCACCACAACACCACACTACACCACCTACGTCCTCAGCACGTCGGACGGTTCCTGCGCCTCCCGTGCAAATTTGTTCCGTCATCTTGGAAAGGGCTTCCTCGGGCTGTTTCATTCCCTTCAATCGGGCCATTTCGAACTTGTCTCCCATCTTTCTAACCCGGCGCCCTCGCACCCAAAAAAAGAGCACCTCATCAATGGCGCGATACGATCTTTCCGTTTCCTTCCCAAGTGAACGCCGCCCATGACGAGCAAAACGGCAGAGGCGTCCCTCCTCCCCCCTTCCCCCCTCCCTTGGTAAACCAGAAAGACGACGCGGCCCGGACGGCACGGAGCCCGGCAAGCAACCTCGTAAATTTCATCCAGTCGGGTACGGCGACCGAGCACGAGCACTGCGCACGCCACACGCGACAGACACTGAACTGCGAAAAGTCGTCGAACAAAATGAAGCATCCAGCACAGACGGCCAAGAAGAAGAAACCAACACCAACACTCACAATGCTCATGTCGTCCCAAAATATCGGGACCGGCGCCCATGTTTAAGATGGCAGGACTCAACTAACTGACACAGGACACGACAGCTCAGCACGTAGCAAGCCCCATCAGGGGACCCGAGACAGTGCAGACCGCGCGGCCACCACCCGTGCAGTGCTGTCTTGTCTGTCTGTCTGTCTGTCTGTCTCCCCCTATTGCCGGCTGCCGCTCGTGCTGGTGCTGGTGCTGTCTCACATCCTTTCCCACTGAGTCTTCTCTGCTTACGTTGCCGCCGCTGTTCTCCCCCTCCCGTGCGGAATGCGCCCGGATGGGGGGCCAAGGCCAATTGGCTGTCATGCTTGTAAGACGGACGCAAGGCACGCTGTCTGCGGGCATGGTCAGCGCGCATTATTGCACCCCATCTTGGCGGCTGGGGTGGCATGGCTGATTCTTATCTGACTGTCCCCATCGCTTGCGGTCGTGCAGAAAGAGGAGATAGGCAGTTGGAGACCGTGCAGCCCGGGCTGTGGTCTTTTTGGTTGGTCCTGCCGTCAGACAAACTGGATGGAACAGGCAGGTTGAAGGCATCGTGAAGTTTGAAGCTGATGAATTTCCTGGAGCTTACATCAGTAGGAAGACGATGCACACGCGCCACCACGGGGCAAAGGCCTCAGGCTGAGGTCGGAAGTTAGATGCCGCAGCTCCCTCAGTCTCAACCAAAGATCATAATTAAATCGATGATAAATGCTTGTCCGAAAGAACATCCCTTGCCTGAGCATCGTCAGTCATACTTCACAGTTGTCGCAGGCCGGCCCGCTCGAACGAGAATTATCCTGACCATGATACTCCCTCGTGATGACAACGGGCACACCTAACCCTGCGTCGTCGTGTCTCCCTGGCCACCGGCTGTCCGGCAAGCGCAGTGAAACCAAATCTCGTATGTTCCCGAAATCGAACATAGAAGGGGGTTCGAGAAGGCCCCTCCGAGTCGCCACATCGCATGGACCGCACCCCATCTTTGAAGATCTCCGCGCCGTCCCGTCCGTGTCCATGGCGATCATCAACTCCCACGGCCCAGGCCCAGTGGGGAGGGCTCCCTTACGCTGCCTAAGACCATTGGCTTTAGCATTCCTGAAGTCATTGAGAGGATACAGGGAAGATGTCTGGACCTCGTGCGACGGTGTATAGACGGACGAATCAATCTTTCCCTTGTATCAAAAGATTGGAACGAAGCCAACTGGACAATCATTCATTAACCGTAGCAATTTACACCCAGCGGCAGGTCTGTGCTGTGTTGTCAATATCCTAGGGCGTTCTATTCTATTCTGTCTTTTTTTATTGACGAAGAAACACCAAATTAACCTACAGATACTGAAAGCATATTCAGAGTTGAGATTGGTTTGATTTACATTTGACTAATAATTTAGGTTCAAAACTCGTATGAGAAGTCGTGAATATGATTTCTTTTTTGCTTGAATTGACTCCATAGGGCTTTTCAAGACCTATCGATGTCTACTTTTGAGAATCCTGGCCACCTACATCCTCGGGGCTATCTTCTCCTGTGATAGAAGTCGCTCAACATCTTTACAGGCAAGCATGCCCCTCTCAATCGCACCATCAATGAATCCCCTCCAGCCATCAGCCCAATCAGCACTTGCAAAAAGAATTCTCCCATCAATCTTCTGCAGTTCTTGCAGAGACTTGGTCATACTACCCGGACCCCAACAACTCCAAGTACCCTTGGAAAACTCGTCAGTCACCCAATCATGGGTAAGGTACGCCAGAACCTCAGCACCAGGGTTCATGTGCTCTTTGAAAGTCGAGATAATCTCGTCGTTGGCATGGCGGTTTGTGAGATGCGAGCCGTAGCCGAAGCCAATGCAAAACGTGCCCTTCTTCGCGGTAGTGCCATTGTGGTCAGAGAACGCGAAGCACCACGGAGAGCTCCCGTATCCGCTGGCCACGGAGAACCATCCCGGCCGCTCCTGAGCCAGCTGAAAGTGGATTTTTGTTCCTTTGTTGATGTGGCCAGATTTGATGGCCTCCTGGCGGCGGGGAGATAGGGCGGGCGAGAACGATACTCCAGAAAGACAGTTTCTATGTTGCGGTGAGTACTTGTGTTTTCCTCCCGGTAGAGAGGTGGCCAACAACTTACAAGGGGATCGTCGAGATTAGGTACTTTGCTTCAATCCGATGCCCGGCCTTCGTGGATACAGTAACAGACGTCCCATTCTGCACCACCCGATCGACGGCGGCATTCAGCACCAGATGTCCACCATAATCGCCCATAATGCTTCGAGCCAGAGAGGTCATGCCACCTTTGCCGAGCTTGTACGTTCCCGCGAGCTCAAACACGCCGGCCATGGAATGGCCACCAAGAGCATACCACCGCAGCACCTCGGTAAAGGCACATTGGTCGCCAGGAACGGCTCCAAAGGAGCTGATCATGGCGTCAAACAGGTCCTTCTCGGCCTGTGGAATCTCGAGTTGGTCAAGTCGATCCTTGGCAGATAGATGGTCGTACCTAGCCCAGAGAGCAGGCTCACGAAGCGGATCGTGAGGATACGGCATCAGCTTGCGGCTGGATAAACCGTCAATTGAGAAGAAAGCATCGGCGGCTCTTTGAACGGCTGCGTTCATCTCTTCGCCATTGATCTCTTGAGAGGGAGAGAAGGCAGCCGTGTAGCGAGTTGTCTCCACGTCAGCGGTCCCTGCAGAGGTTTTCAAATTCTTCTGCAAGCCGTAACGGCGAATCTCCGTGAAGACATGCGGATGGTTCCTTGAAATGTGTTAGTATAGGTAGGTGATTGGTGAGTGAGGATGTTACCAATGAACCCATGTCCCTCCCATTTCGAATTCCTCACCGAGGGCTTTGGCAGTCCATGTTCTTCCACCAATACGGTCCCGGCCCTCCAAGAGAAGAACCCTGAGATGCAAGTTTCGGCTTAGATCTCTAGCTGCGACTAGTCCTGCGAAGCCAGCTCCAATGACGATAACATCGTAGGTTGAAAGTAGAGAAGAATCGGGCGTGCTGCTGACAACGGCGTCGGTCTGGAGGCCAACTGTCTCTCCCGCGGGAGTCCAAAGGTAGCCTTCACGAGTAGCAGACATGATTTCGGCGAACAGAAAATATCTGGTTTGGATTGTGAGTATCATGGTTGAGAACGAAAGTTGAAGCAAGATATAAGGCGATGCCGGGTATGGGTATGCGGGGCGCCGGTTGCCTATTTGGGAGAAAAAGTGCGAGGTTGATTGTCTGGGCCATGATCGTTGAGCCGACGTCTTCCACTGCAGGGCTCGGAACTAAAGGAACTCCGACTCACAAGTTCAATTTCTAATCCATTTGGTTTTGATTCTGGTGTGTCGGGTTGCTGAAAGGTCCCGTGGGGTGTATTTAAGTGCTGCCACATAGCCGTTTTGGGAGGACTCAATTGATCGGTTCCGATCACAGCAGACATTGCATCTCATATCTCATCGACTACTTTTCAAACATGCCTTTCACTCATAAGCTTCAAGCAGCTTCCAAGAAGCAGCCAGCCATGGATGGCTCAACGAATGCCTTCGGGGGTGGTAAGTCGCTTTGAATCTCCGAAGCATCGGCTAAATTACTGATCACCGCTCAGATGTTGTTTCTACCAGCGATGTTGGTTCATCAAACCCGATATCCGCCGGCTTTTTCCGGATCGAAAAGGGAGAGCCATGTGTTTTCACGTATGAGTTTGACGAGGCGAAGTACTTCACTGAGGGGCAATGCCAAGTGGAGGACGAGACGGGCGCAAAAGTAATCGCCAAAGCAGGCGATGTGATGCTTTTCACCAAGGGATCGACAATTTCATTTTCAACAGACACCTATGCCTTGGCTTTTTTCTGCGACCAGAGGGCGAAGTTGTAAGCTATTCGATAACATGTATCAAACAGATACCTGAATTTCAACATCGTAGCGTGCTCAATAGCATAAGCTGCATCGAATTACATGTGCCGACTAGCCAAGCATAGTTTCGAGCTTCATCTCACACATAACATCAATCCAGTGGATCTCCCTCTGAATACATGCGCCTTCACTGTCCATGGTATCCATAAGTGACCACACTTCGTTCAAAATGATCGCAACATGCTTGATAATGCGCAAGCCAACAGTGCGGTACAAATGAAGGACACGTGTGCGCACAAATTCCCTGAAGTGCAACATATCTGTGTTGGGAAATTGTGATCCAATCGCTCCAGATGCGAAGCTTTGCCTCAACGCACTGCCTGCGATGAGCAGTGGCAGCGTTTGCGTTGAGACGGTGCCTGAGCTGGCTGGTATCCCTCTCAACCTTTTCAGTATGCCAAGGGCGAGTTGTAGCACCACATCTGGCTGTGTGCTACCTTCGACACCACTCTTTCGTAGACGTCCGGAATCTTCCACGATGTTTGACGTCGCAAGTTCAGGAAACGCACGGTAGATTTCCAGCAAGGTTGACAGCTGATAGCACCGGGCAATAACAAGCAGATGATCCGGTGGCGTGCGAGGATCGCCGACATCCTGTACTCGGTACATGACGGGGAGTTCATAGCTCAGAATCGCCTGTTCCAGGGATGAAGCCTCGTTTAGTAAGTCGATATGCAACGCCTGTCGGTGGAACTCCCCGTTCTTGACGAAATCAAGACTCCGCAAAGCTCTTTTGTTTCTGACCAGTGTTCCTGCTTTTGCGAGGTGTAGGAATACTGATGACCCTACTCCTGTCCATGGGCATGGCGTTACTGATGACGCTTCACTGGATTGGTCGAAGATTTCCAGGTAGTCCAGTACGTCCAAATTTTGATCGTGAATGAACGAGCTCATTGCTTCCCAATACATCATGGATGATGACAAGAAGGTTTGAACAGGCGTCATGTCAGACCGCCTGTCTGGATGGTCCAAGTTGTTGGAAGATGTCCAGCCTTTGAATAGCTGTCTCGTCCCGTATAGATGGGGTAGTCCAGTCGACGACGCATCATGCCAAGCCTATCACAGGATGAGCTTGAGAATAAACATCACACTTGCATTGTAGACTAACCGACGTTATTCCAAGAAGAATCGCTCCCAAGAGAACATCGTCTTTTACAGTGAGGCTCTTGGAGATTTGGGTACTACTCGACTCAACACGTGTAGTGTCAGGCTCCTTCGATTTGACAACGCTCGTTTCTGCCAGTTGTTTGGACAGATTGGAGATTGCCTCCGTTTGATATTGCAGTGAGATGTTGGCTTGGCCGGTGTCATTTTGATGTAGGTGCGCTGCTGATAAACTCAAAATGCAATGATAAAGCAAAGGCGATGTATCCAACATGCTAGAAACCTCATTTCGGAAAGGATTAGCAGCCGAGTCGAAGTTCGAAATGACTTGACAGATGACCACAAAGTAATGATTCAGCATGAGAGACTGCCTATCAGTGGGAGTGTATAGGTTCGTGAACGTTTCGTTGCCCACTGATTTTCGCATAGGTGTAGAAGTATCTCCAAGAGATACTGCTCGCGTGTGGGCCACCGGGCTCGAACGCTCGCAAGCCTTCTTCGCAATCCGCATAGACGAGGTGTAGGTGCTCACATAATCTGCGTTATCAGCACCAGGCTGCAATGGCGATGGATTCGAGACACCTATATAGGATTTCGTGGCACTTGATGACTGAGGGGGACGTCTCTCGTGCTTCGTAGACCACTTGATGCGTTGTCCATACCCAGGGCAAGAAACTCCGATTTTTACGCAGCGATGACAGCTTGGCTGCTGCTCATCGCACTTGACACGCTAATGGAACAACAAAAATGTGAGAAGTTGCTTTTTTACTTCAAAGTAGTTAAAGAGCATTCAATTTACGTACCCGTTGTTTGCATGTTGAGCATCCACCTGTTTTTGGATTAGCACTGTCCCTTGAAATCCGGAACTGCGTTACGCTCACTTCTGCCTTTCTGATTTTTTCTCATGCTTGTAATTTTCTCAGTCATCATGATTCTCTCTACTGACTTGGCAGCATGTTGTTGGTCAAGCCTTGTGCTCGCTATCAAAACCTGGGCGACCCCCGAGACGAAATTCGGAACGCGTAAACCTGGTCACATATTCCGAGCAAGATACTGCCTGATACGCCAGTTGAGGCTAATCCCGAAACGGACAAAAAGTGCGAGGGACTGATAAGCTGATAAGCAATTTGCCCCCACCCCCTGTGGATCATTGTCTTCTAGGTACCAGGTGCCCTGAGAATCGGGCCCTACATAAATCTCTCCTTTGAAATGCGCCTGGTAGTCTGCTCGGGCTCTGTCGGAGACGCTTGATTTGGTCCACCAACACATTCCAGGGCAGATAGTTATGTAGCACGACTTTGTGCTGCTGCCGGGGGNGGGGGGGGCGGGAGGGAATGAAAAGAGAAAAGGACCTTGATGCCTATCTGGGCTGGGCGGTGAGAGACGGCAGATCTCCATCCTTGCTACCTGCCATGCTTGCCACCTTTCCTACTTAAGACTAGGGGCGGTACACAAAAGCATGTCGTACAGCTGGGTCCACGTGAGGATCTCCGATGGGACGCGGATCAGCCCAAGCTCATCAACGGTAATAACAACCGCCTCAATTTTTTTTTTTCTTTCGCTGAAAAACATCGCACTTCTTCCACTCGACGAAGGTTCACACATTCATTTTCATCTCATTCCAAGTAGCAGTATTCCTACGAAGCATGCACGACCACGCCCCATCCGCGGCATTACAGCCATGTAGGCTCACCCTCCTTGACTTACCAGTATCCATCATCTATGCGATCGTGGACAAGCTCTTCGAGAACAGCTTCTACCAAGATTACAAAGGCTACATCACGAATAAAAGCGGATATGATATGAGAGAATACATCGACACAGGGCGACACCAGACCTACGGAGCCTTCGACCACTGGAAAGACTTGGCTCGAATGGCAGCATCTTGCAAATCATTCTACAACATCATTACCCCCATTCTATACCGACGAGATGTCCAATTCAACCATTCATCGGCACTCCTGCTCTCGGCCAAGAAGGGAAATCTTGACGGGATTCTCAAGTCAATCGACCTTGGACACGCCGATCTCAACATGGAAGACCATACAGACTTTGTGGAGGACGAGGACATTGACTGCCGTTCCTACGGTGTCGAGGATCGTTGGAGAGAGGGTGTCACTTCCACTCTCACCGCTCTGCATCTGGCTGCATACCATGCGCATCCTGTTGTCGTTGACTTCTTGCTGAATAATGGCGCTGATGTGCAACGGAGAGCCCACATAGGGCCCAAAGCTCGACCTGAGCGAATGTTTGTTCATCAGCAAGTTTACATGTTCGCCCATACATCGGATGAGTATGGTGTCATCTGCAATGAAGGCGAGACTTCACCTCCCTTCGGGGCAAACGCCCTGTTCTTTGCTTTGAAAGCAGGCCGATATCTGTCGCCAAGGAAGCGCTATGTTGTACAGCCCGACACGAGTGGTATCCGTTTTCAAATGGCGAAGCAACTCATTCAGTCCGGTGCGTCGCTCATCACACGAACCCGCGGAGATGTTCATGCGTTGCACCAGGCTTGTGCGTACCTGGACTTGGATGTGGCAGAATTCCTTGTGGGAGAGCTTGGGGTCGACCCAAACGTCAGGGATAGTGATGGTAACACTCCGTTGCACTTCATGGCAATGAACCTCGACGACTGGAACCTGGAGAAAGTCAAACATGAACGGGAACACCTGCATGCCATGTTTTGGTATTTGGTAGGAAAGGGGGCGGACATTGATGCGGCGAATCACGCTGGGGAGAAACCCCTCCACCTCTCGCTGTACAGAAGAGCTGGCATTGACTTGGCTTGTCTTCTGATCGAGAGAGGGGCCGAGTTTGACGCGGATGCAAATAGGCTGTATGAAGGAGGCCATATCTCCGACGCGGATCAACGGCGCATTTACACAGCATTTTGGGGCGAGGATGGGCAGATTGTCCCATTTGGGACAGACTCGGACCCTACATGCTCACAGGCAGGCTAGGTGCCTAAGTGGGATAGGAACGCCACAGAAAAATACATACTCACTTTCGGATATACGGGAAGGTAGCTGGTGGCCATGGATCCCTCCAGTCGTTCCTTGGAAGGTTATATTGATGCCTTCCATCATCATCCAGCCTAGGCCTAACAAACAGAAAAGAATATTGAGACGAAGTTAAAACATTGATTTTGATTAGAAACATTTGCAATGATTCTAACTTGATGTAGTTTCGAATGTTTCTTCGGGCAACAGTGGTGACTGCGATGTCAGGCCACAGGTGAATTGGAAACAAAGGGGTCCAGTAACAGGTCGAACATTCACCTTCATCAAACGGATACAGGCACCAATTACGGTCGATGATTCACCTGTTCCGCTCAAGCACGGACAGTTGAAAGCAGAGACGAGCAAAATCTACCAATGCAGGCAGCCGTTGGAGCACCCAGTCCGACAGGCGGTAAAAGTACGCGGTGGTTTTGGCTGCCAGAAAATTTCGATAGTTGTGCCCTTTGCAATTTCTTTCTTTTCCATCACACCTCCCCTCCTGCTAGTTTTGCAGGATCTTCCAACTTCGCCCTCCCAAATCTCATCACCAACTTCGATCTTCACCAATCCTTACGAGCTCCTTCATCAAGCTCAACTGCGCCAACCTTTGCGGTCGTCTGCCATCGTGAGTTCGACATCAGTCATCGCTGCGTTTGCCACTTGCTAACTTGACCCAGCCATGGCCGCGGCTGCACCACCAAGAAACAACCGCCTATCAGAGGTAGCCTTTCTGGCTCTGCCTTCGCCCGGCTCTGCTCTCGTCCGGCTCTGCTCTCGTCCGGCTCTGCTCTCGTCCGGCTCTGCTCTCGTCCGGCTCTGCTCTCGTCCGGCTCTGCTCTCGCCCGGCTTTGCTTCCTCCCGACCCTAATCCCTCCCGACCCTCCCCGCTGCTAGCTTCGCCTTCCTCTAGCATTTCTCTCTCTCGGCTTTCTATCGCGCGGCTTGGCTTCTTCCCGACCCTGTCTACTCCCGACCCTGTCTCCTCTGGGCCCTGTCCTTGCCTCAGAGCTCTGTCCTTGCCTCTGCCTTTGGTATTGGTCTTGCCTGGCCTCGCCCGACCCCACAATGGCGCGCGGCTTCCAATTCAAGTGCGTGAGGCCCGACTTGGTCAAAGCAATAAGCACGGCGACTTCTCTGTTGGAGTTATTCGAGAGCGTGAACACGAATCGCGGCAAGATTCGCCAGCATGAGGGCCTGAGCAATGCACAAGGGGGGCAGGTACGTCTGCTCTACCAATGCTCGGATCACCTTGCGTATTTGATGGTTCGAGAACACGAGGTTGTCTCCATCTGGCCGGTGATGAGCGATGAAGGCACTTTTGAGGGCAACAGTATGAGACCTCTCAAGGCTCTGACCGTGTCGGCAAACCCCACTGAGCGGCCGTCCAACAAGCAGCCTGGCCAGTCTCCGGTTCACGTCCAAAGCATCACTGATCTGGAGCTGACCGAGAACCTGGTGGAAACCCTGAATAGTCCCAATGGCATTGGCCATTTCATTTTCACGCAGTACGGTCACGTCGGCCCTGGTGAGTGGACCATGTCACTCGGTCAACACTGCCACAATGTGTTTCGCCTCTTCAAACGGGTTCACTCATTCGGCAATAATCTTCCAGCCAGAATGGCGGCAATACAAGTGTTTCACGACTATGTCGTCGCAATGTCATTCAGAAGAATCCGGAAGCGCAAGCAGTACCTCTTTGATGACCGAAACTTCGGAGACATCTTGAAGATGACCCTCGGCCAACTCGAAGCTCAGTATGCCTCGTCCTCCTTGACCTTCACTCACGACTACGCATCTATCGACGATATTCCGTACTTTCGAGGTGGCTCTCCGGAAAAGCGCACTCACATTCTTTCCGATAAAGATAGAACCATAGCGGATCCCGAGCAGCTCAAGCTTCTTGAAGAGATTTCCAACCTTGGCTCGGCACCGACTTGGAAAACCTCGTCACTCAATCCCACGAATGTTGTCGGCCGTTCGTATGAGCTAGGTGGAGAGTCGGTCGTGTATAACCAACAAGGCCGTAGAGACTTTCATGATGTCTGCAGGGCCCTTTTCGAGGGTATCGAGAGAAGTGTCAACGCTCTCAACCACGCAATCCAGCAAGGCCGGCTAGAGGAGTCACCCCACGTTCGAGCTCAGAATGTGTTTGAGGCTGTTCGTCGATTTCAGTGGGTGAGCATGCTGCTGAGTCGGTTCAGGTCGACGATGGGTCATCTCTGGCATGCCCATCTTGATTGGTTGATGAGAATTATGCATGAAGAGACGCATGCTACCTACAAGAAAAAGGGCGAGAAGGGCCCGAAGGGCTATCACTTGAGTCGCCCGATAACTACACCAGACAACAGACCTCAATCTCTGACTGAACGCCTGAGCGGAAGCGATCACAGCTCCCGCCCGGTAAGCCAGGACCCGTCTCCCGCTGCTCGCCAAGGACATGTTGCTCCACCTCCCGGCTCGCAAGGACATACCCCTCTGAGACCCCCGCCCAAAGGGTCTCCCCTATCACAGCAACATCTGCCCGGTCCAGCGAACACACAGTCATCTATGCCAGGATCTAAGGGTGGATCTTCAGGGCCCTGGTCAAAGTCGAGCTCGACGAACTCATTCAATCCAGGTACCCACACACCTACCCATGTGGTGGGTTCCAAGATAGCATCAGGGTCTGTGTTCCCAAGTCCGACAAATCCAAGCAATCCCCCGCCTCCCGGGTCTCGCTTCCAAATCCATGACCCTTTTGTGCGGCTCGGAGGACAGCCCCAGAGAGGAATGGGTGGAGCTGCTTCTCCTCAAGCTCCCAGCGCCTCTGGCACACCAGCTCCCGCGATGGGCCCGCTGGTCCCGAACCCTATGCGGACCGCCGAGTATACAGGATCACCCTTGCCTCGAGGTGATTTCAGGTCAGAAGAGCCGCTCAAAGGTCGCACGAAGTTCCCCGAAGCCCCCGAAGATGTTCCCGAAGACCCTACGCACCCTACGGACCCCGCGGAAACAAGCATTGACGCGAATCCCAGACACCGAAGCTGGGCTGAGTCCTTAGATGTGTGTGCTGGGAACATCTGTCGTCAGGCGGACGCGATGCGGGCATTGACTGTCAGAGGGACTGAGCTTGATGGCTTCTACGGCCGTGTATTTCGCGATGCTCCCCTGAACTTCCTGGATACGACAAAGTCTTTCAACGACTCAGATGAGGTGTTGTCATTTGATACCTTACTCCAAGACCTCAAGAAGAAAGATGGCACTCTTTTCACCAAGGACGAGCAATTTAAGATCCTCGAGGAGATCCAAAATCTGGAGGTTGAGCCGCAGCTGAAGAGACCACGGAAAGGAAATCTTCATGCAGAATTCATCCCTCTTATCATGCACTGCGTCACGGTCTTGTGGGACACGATGGTCGACAAATCAGACGGAGCTTCTACGCATGCGAAAGAATTGGAGTTGCCTGACAAGGAGCTCTGTTTCCTTTTCAAGATACTTCCAGTCATCCTCGCTGTTTCCAAGCGCTGTTGTCCCGTTTGTCACCACCTCTTGGAAATCTGCCTGGACAAAGCAACCGCTCCGGACAAACCAGCTGCTTCGCTGTTGTATTCGGGCAATCACTCTGATTGGTGGCCAGTCACCATTCCACCGTGGACCCCTCACTCGGTTGCCCTTATTCTCTACAAACGCATCCACGCAGACCTGGTAGATCGACTTGAAACTATCCTGTACCCTGATCGCTTACTCAAGACAGGTCCCAGCGGTGGATCAATTCCAAGTCTTCAATGGATGGCCTTTCCCAAAGATAAGGATCAAGCGTTCGCCTTGACCTTTGACCGCGGAGCACCAACCGAGTTCGTGCCTGAACCACGTGGAGGACAACAGAGCAGCAGCAGCAGCGGTGGCGGCGGTGGTGGAAGCAGCGGCGGCCCAGGTCCGCGTGGTGACAACAGCGGAGGCAGCAGACAAGGCAGTGCCGGTTCCTGGCGAGGGGGTGGCAGTCGTGGCGGCAATCCTTCCGGTCGTGGGGGCCCACGTCTTCCAGGTTCTTCCGTCCGCAAGGACAAGAGAGACGCTTCCACGGAAGTGCCGAGAGAAGCCAACGTGCCGTCAAAGGTGCCCCGAGGAGGTGGAAATTGGGGAGGTCGAGGAGGCCAAGGCCGAGGAGGCCAAGGTCGAGGAGGCCAAGGTCATGGAGGCCAAGGTCGAGGAGGCCAAGGTCATGGAGGCCAAGGTCGAGGAGGCCAAGGTCGAGGAGGCCAAGGTCGGGGAGGCCAAGGTCATGGAGGCCAAGGTCGAGGAGGCCAAGGTCATGGAGGCCAAGGTCGAGGAGGCCAAGGTCGAGGAGGCCAAGGTCAAGGAGGCCAAGGTTAATCTGTCATGGGGGAGGGAGTGAAACGCACGGCGGAAACGACTGACGACGGTTGGGGACGAAAACTGAAAACCAAAAGAAAAGGAAAACAAAACACCAAAAACACTAATGATCAGAGAAGAAGATGGTCGAGACGAAGACGGTAGAGATGAAGACGGCAGAGATGAAGACGGCAGAGATGAAGACGGCAGAGAAGATAGTGGTCAGGGATGACGGCAGTCAGGGATGACAGCGGTCAGTCATGACGGCGGTCAGTGACGACAGTTGTCAAGGACGACGGCAGTCAGGGACGACGGCTACAAGGAAAAGAGATGCGGAGTAGGTGAGAAAAGTACAAATTGTTTTCAGGCGTTTGGTCCGGGTTTGCTTCTCATCACCCAGCTATATGATGCTGCGGTTAATCACAACACAAGGATAGACTACTAAAAACAATAAACCCAAAAAAACTTGAAAAACATCCCGAAGCGAATGTGTCTAGAATCTGCGTCCAAAATTAACCTAAATGCTAATCACCTCGTGAGATCGCGGCATCGTACTCTTCAGAAAACCTGGGCTCCCGGCCACTTTTCCGTGCATCAGGTTCGGGTGACTTCTGGCATGCTGTTCCTGTTTGTTCAGCTTGATTCTGGAGGCTCATCGTCAATGGTTTCGGTGTAGGATCTCGACCGCGTGGCTCAGATTCTGCCATGTCGTCATCTATCGGTATGTTGCGCGAGGTGTCTTCCCTGCTCATCCCTCCCGCCCCCGTTGGCAATGACCCGTCGGATCCTTCTTTATCGATTGCTTTCGCCGCTCTGCTCCGGCGTTGCCTTCTCCAAAGAAACCATAGTAGCCCGATAAGTACAAACGCGCCGATAATCGAAGCTGCGATAATTCCGCCAAGAGCGCCATTGGAGAGGCTGGTGTTCGGATGAGAGCTTTGGGCAAGATTCGCCACGGGATAAATCGGCGATGTTGTCTCTGAAAATGTTGTACTTTCAGTTGCTGATGTTGTTCGTGACGGATCGACAACCCAGCTGTCGGCCATCCTGGGTGTATTATCAGGCGGGCCTGATGCGACGATGGGGGTCATCGGATGCGAGACGATGCTGGTGTTTCTGGTCCAATGTGGCAGCAGCAAAATGCAAAACAAAGTCGTGCAAATGCACTAAGGTGGTCAGGGTCTTTAATATGACGATTGTCCAGGTGGGTAGGGATCTGCCATTATTTGATAGTCTGAGTCTAGAGGAGTCCCAACTGCTGACCACGCGGCTTTGGTGGCTTGACACCATCACGTTGTACTAGTCGGAAAGGGGTGGTCGGGGCTGATGTGGCCTAGGTTGATGATTCTTCATCTCCCCTCCCAGCCACCTTTGTTTGGCCAAAGCCACCTTTGATTCTTCAGAAAACAAGGACTTGCTTGATTGAAGTTGTGAGTACAGAACATTACTGGTGTGTTGAACCTTCTTGGCTGCAAAGAGCTTTCCGTATAAACAAAGCAATCATTGTCTCTTCAGCTCAAGGATATAATATTCCTCGAAAACACCCTTTCCAATGGATTCATTTCCCCTGACTAACTCCTGGCACGAGTAACCATTCTGCCGAGCGATCTGAACGATTGCTTCGTGGTTTGCATATGCGCTTGTGCCAAGGAGAATCACGCCCTTGTCTGTCAGATACTCGTACGCCTCACCAACGAACCTTCGCAACAGCTGATACTCAGAGTCCAGAGTTTTCTCCGATTTCAGTTGCAGTGGAATATTCGAATCATGCTGCCATGGATGGTTCCAATAGATGAAGTCAAACTTGCCATTGACGTTCTGATAGATATTGCTGACGACAAATGTGCCCTTTTGATGGTTGATTTGAAAGTTGCTCTGTGTGACGTTGACGGCTTCGGGGTTGATGTCTACCCCAAAGACTTGGGATCCAGCCGCGGCAACGGACAGCGATGTGAGTCCCGACCCGACGCCAACTTCCAGAAAGCTTCCCTTGTTGACGATTGGCGGAAGGTGCTGCGCATACCACCAGGTCTCGGGAAAGTACTTGGGCGAGTAGACAGACGGGTGGATCATGATATTATAAGGTCCAAAGGTCTCTGTGTAAGGCGATTGGTGCTGTTGCGCTTGGTCGATGAGCTCAGAGATGCGCTTCTCCCACACATCACGAGTAGAGGCACGCAACCCGCCGTTGGTAAAAGCTGTATGCATTTTGACGAATTTTAGAAATGAGATATGTATAAGACAGGGTGTTGTATGCGGTAAGGTGAGATTAGATCACCCAACCTTGAGATTGACGGAGGAGTGCATCTCAAGACCTTAAGTACAGATTGACGGCGGCTGAAGGAACGCTGTACAGTTCAATCTGGCCACCCCGTGTCGCAATACTTGGCCGTGAGCCATTCTTCATCTCTTCTATCCCACGAGTCATGAAGCCCTTGGCGGTGACAATTTTGACAGGACTTGGAGTAGCTCGCCGAGCATGTCGACGGTTCCCGTAAAACAGCCCTGCCAGAAGAGCTGACGCAGCTTCAGCAGAGTTGCAGTCGCCTTGTATCACCGTGCTAATGTAGCAACAGCGGGTGGGGGGTTGTCTCTCATGGGATGACATGCTGAGAAGTCGACTGTTTTCATTACAGAGGAATACTACATGAAGCTCCCAGACAGCTGCGTAAGCGTCTCTAAGTAGCAAGACACCATCTGCATAGCTACGCTGAGAGAGGAGAAGGTTTCAATGGATCCTCGGTGATGCTCTTGAACACCACTAGGAACAGCTTGATATGCGGACCGGGCCAGGGCGGATCGGGCCTGCCCGGCATTCGACGATGAATTGCGTGATATCACATCCAGTTCGAAACGAGGGGATTTCTGTCCCCGGTATATAAAACAGAAATATGTGGTCTTGTCTAGCAAACCCCACACACCCCGCACCCCGGATTCCGCAGCCCGCGTGCCCCGGAGTTCGAAGCAGCCCTCTGGGGTTTCTGATCTAAGTGACGTCTACCATATACCATCGCTCTAATTCAACGAGCAAAACCCCGTGTGTCGATTCTCACGCTATTGCGGCAACTTTGGCCGGGGCTGGACTAGGTGGCGGCGCTGCAGTGCCGGCTCGCGGCCTCGGACCCGACTAGTCGTCGATCATTCGACTTGGACCCTGGGGCTAACTTCACAATGATGGTAAGCCTGTCATATTTGGCAACATCGAAGCCGAGGTAGCGGAAATTTCAGAGCTAACTTTGCAACATTTTGAGAACCGCTTCCCTGGCATCGCACGCATGAGGTGGTTGGCGAAGTGTCCAGCGGGTTCAGGAGACAAGCTGACAAGCCGATTTGGACTAGACAAAATGTGCCCGCCGTTGCGAGATGATGGGCCTAGCACCAAAACGGCATCGCGCAATGTCTCAGCCCTCCTTGCAAAACTTGTGAGACCGTCGTCGGGTTGTCGGGTTTTCACGTTTCTCGCGTTCTTCAAAAGCGTCGAAACGAGATGGCCTTAGCAACTTTGTTGGGGGCAATCCTCGCGATCATAGCAGGCGCTTACGCCTTGGACCTTTTCGTCTTCTTCTCACGAGATTCGCGTGAGCCACAGTATGTTAGGTCACGCGTCCCACTTATCGGACACCTCATCGGTATCTCCAAGCGCGGCGCTGGAAGGTATTACACCGACGTTGCGTGCGTTTCTCCTCCTTTTCACAATGAGTTCCATTGTTGACGCGTGTTATCAGATCCAGCCAACCGTCCGGCATCTTTACCCTGCCAATTTTCAACTTCAAGCTCTACGTCATCTCGGAGCGGAAACTCATAAGCGCGATCAAGCGCCATGCCAGAACTATTTCCCTTACGCCGTTTGCCGCCAAGACCTTGAAGACACTGAGCGGACTCGGAGATATTGTCCTGGGAATCCAGGACCACCTTCAAGGCCCACTCGAGACCAAAGAGTTCGACAGGGTCCAGCGGGCTTCGATGTCTGCTGGCCCTGATCCGGATGCCATGGCCTCGGTGTCGGCGAGGGTTACTTTGGAGCTGGTTGAAGAGCTGGCCATGAAGGCAAAAGCGGGAGCTGGGACTCGGATTGAGCTTTACACGTGGCTGAAGCATCTCATCGCGCTGTCTGCCTCAGAAGGCATGTTTGGGCCGATGAATCCCTTCCGTGACCGAAAATGAGGCAGACTTCTGGTACGTGGAACATGATGTCACTTTATGAATCACCATGTTGACGTCCATAACAGGACCTTTGCATGAAAGTCTCACATCCTTGTCATGGGAGGGCTCATGCCTCGGATCCCAGCCAGGGATGCTTTGCAAGCGAGGGAACGCAACGCAGTCTGGCATGAGAATTACATCCGAAATGGTGGACACGAGGAAGCTTCGTGTGTTGTCAAAGGTAGATGTCGTGTTCTAAAAGAAAACGGCGCTACGGTTCGCGACATGGGCCGCATTCACATCGGCTTCGATATGGCGATGCTCGACAATTACGCACCCACGGCTTTCTGGGCCGTCTACGAAATTCTTTCCGCCCAAGATTGGTTCAGGAAATCCGCCAAGAAGTCCGCAAGGCCATCACCAAAGGTGATGAAGCTGACTGGGCTCTCGACATTTCAATCCTCAAGACGGCCTGTCCTCTCCTGTTATCTTCCATCCAGGAGGCGCAGCGTGTGAACTCTGTCCAAGCCGGCATCCGCGAGATCCTCCGCGATACGACCATCACCACCGAAGACACGTCAGTTTTGTTGAAGAAGGGGAGCTAAGGTACTTGCAAATCAATAGGATCTCGACCCTACGCGACCTGAAACCTTGGGGTTCTGACGCAGCCGACTTTGACCCGTACCGTTTCATCAAGATGAACAGATCAGGGACAGCTACGCCAGGCGTGGCTGCTGTCAGCGAGTTGCTGCCAAACCGAAAATGGGCCAAACCCATTTTCGGTTTGGAGCATTGCACTACATGTGTGTCCCGCAAGGTGGTATGCAACACGGGGCATCATGGTGCTTGTTGCGATGCTGGTTCTGAGGTCTGACTTTGACATCGAGGGTGATCTTCAGATACGAGGCGGAAGCGAGGTCTCACGGAGGAGGCCAAAAACCGCTAAAGACTTTTCAACTCTGCCTGCGCCCGGTGAGCCGGTGCGTGTGTTGTTGAGAGCGAGAAAGGAACTCGCAGGAAGGTGGGACGTTAAGATTGGTACACCGAGTTCGAGACTTCAGCTTTCGGTACCTTAATAAAGTAGAAAGCGCTCCACACCTTTACGAGGTTTTTCTGGAGACCGATCAATGTTCCTGCCGCTTCAGCTGGAGATGGTTGGTGTTTGTTGGTGATGTTCGCGGATTCGTCAAGCCACAGGAAGTCTGAGCGCACCGCCACATTAAGCAAAGGTGTGGCTGATGAAGAAGCACCTGGATCGGATGCAGTGCAACCGCGTCTTCACAGTTTGTCGCGTGCACATTCCAAATGACACCATCGTCCACCAAATCACGGCAGCTTATTTGGCGCAAGGCACCACAGACAAGTGTCTCGCTCCTCCGCCTCCTTCGGCCATCCTGAGCGCCTGTGACCTTCTGAATATGGTCAAGTGACCCCCTCCCGAACCCCGGCGCAACGCAGCGACACTATTACCAGCCACCACCATGGCAACCATCAACGCGATAAGATAACGAGCTTGCTCGGTCAATACAAGAAGGTGGAGCTGAGGTGGGCAGCAGCCGGGCCCGTATCGGCTTGAGTCAATCGGCGAGTCGTGCTGTCCCCCCGATTTGGGTGTCTGTTGCGTTGAAGCTTCCGGCGGCTCGCACATCCGATTCCAAAGATCCAGTTGGCTTCATCCTCGCCCACGTCCACCACTCCTCGTGCCTCGGCTCGCGCTCTTCTTCCTCCACAGGCATACCGTCTCCAGCAAGCTCACCGCATATTGCATCTCGCGCAATTACACCGCCGACTTGTTCAATCGCTGGTGCACGTGTGCATTGCATCAAAACACCACCAAAACACCACAACGCCCTCCCTCGCGATAACACCAACAACATCCCTCCAACCATGACCAAACACACCCCCGACTCTCTCCGCACCCGCGTGTCCTCCCTCTCCCTCCGCCTTCAAGCAATGGAAGCCGCCGAAGCCCTCTCCCGCTCGCAATCGCCCGCGCCCTCGATGGCCGCCTCGACAACTATCCCCGTCACGGCGTCCAAGCCCTTCCTCCTCGCCGACATGGAAGGCCGCCCCGCCGCCTCCAACCCCGTCTGCGAGTCCTGCTGGAACGCCCTCCGCTACAGCGAGGTGAAGCAGACCTCCCGCGCCGCCTCCCCGGCCGCCTGCAAGCTCTGCGCCGTCGCCGCGGGCAAGCCCGAAGCCTACACCCAGCCCTTCGTCGACTTCCTCACCGAGAACCCCACAATCTTCCACGCCGTCTCCTACTTCAAGACCAAGCTCGCCGCCGCAGGCTTCACCGAGCTGCCCGCCCGCGACAGCTGGAAGCTCCAGCCCGGCGGCAAGTACTGGACCACCAAGAACGGCTCCGGCCTCATCGCCTTCACCGTCGGCGAGGCCTACAAGCCCGGCAACGGCGTCGCCATGATCGCCGGCCACATCGACGCCCTCACCGCCAAGCTCAAGCCCGTCTCGACCAAGCCCACCCGCGCCGGCTACCTCCAGCTCGGCGTCGCCCCCTACGCCGGCGCCCTCAACCAGACCTGGTGGGACCGCGACCTCTCCATCGGCGGCCGCGTCATCGTCCGCGACGAGTCCAACAAGACCACCACCAAGCTCGTCCGCCTCGACTGGCCCATCGCCCGCATCCCCACCCTCGCGCCGCACTTTGGCGTCGGCATGATGGGCCAGAACAACCCCGAGACCCAGGCCGTGCCCATCATCGGCCTCGAGAGCTCCTCCGACGCCGCCTCCAACCCCCCCGTCGAGCCCCTCGGCCCCAAGGGCTCCTTCGTCAACACCCAGCCCCCCAAGCTCGTCAAGCTCATCTCCTCGGAGCTCGGCCTCGCCTCCCCGACCCAGATCGTCAACTGGGAGCTCGAGCTCTACGACTCCCAGCCCGCCCAGACCGGCGGCCTCGACCGCGAGTTCATCTTCGGCGGCCGCATCGACGACAAGCTCTGCTCCTGGGCCGCCTTCACCGGCCTCCTCGCCGCCGAATCCTCCCCCTCCGACGGCATCATCAAGCTCGTCGCCCTCTTCGACGACGAGGAGATCGGCTCCCTCCTCCGCCAGGGCGCCCGCTCCAACTTCCTCCCCCTCACAATCGAGCGCGCCGTCGAGTCCCTCTCCGCCGCCGCCGACGTCCCCTTCGGCTCCAACACCATCGGCCAGACCTACGCCTCCTCCTTCCTCGTCTCCGCCGACGTCACCCACGCCGGCAACCCCAACTTCCTCGGCTACTACCTCGACGACCACGTCCCCCGCCTCAACGTCGGCATCGCCATCTGCGGCGACAGCAACGGCCACATGACCACCGACGCCATCTCCACCGCCATCCTCCAGCGCGTCGGCGAGCTCGCCGACGCGCCCACCCAGACCTTCCAGATCCGCAACGACACCCGCAGCGGCGGCACCGTCGGCCCCGCGCTCAGCAGCGCCATGGGCGTCAAGGCTGCTGACGCCGGCCTGCCGCAGTTGAGCATGCACTCCATCCGCGCGACGACCGGTGCGCTGGACCCTGGTCTGGGCGTCAAGTTCTTCAAGGGCTTCCTGGACCACTGGGAGAAGATCGACGGCGAGTGGCACTGAGAGGAGCCAGTCACTAGAGGACAGGCGTATATAGAAGTAAGAGTTCCAGCGAGGCGTAAAGAGTAGACGAGGACAGAGCATGATTTATGAAATGGCTTGTAGAATATGTACTAGCACAAGACGCATCAACATGGATGCAATTGAAAGAATTGTCAAGAAAGATGTCTCATTATCGTGACAGACATTAAAGCGTTATAATTACTATTAAGCCCGCCTGGTTCCCTGCCGTCCGTCGTCGCCCAGCTCCCGTGCCTCTCTAATCTCCATCGAGTCCGCTTCAGACGCAGCATCGGATCTATCCCCATCATCGTCATCGTCGTCGTCACTGCCGGACCCATCGTCGCTCGCCATGCCCCCAGCCTCCTCCATTTGAGGCTCGACCTCCTCGATGGGCTTCTTTCTCTTCTCAAAGTCCTGCCGATGCGCCTCGGCCAATATCGTGGTGAAAGTCCTCTGCGGAGCCGGCATCGCGACGCTGGACTTCCGCCGCCTGACAGTGCCTTCCTCCATGCGACGCGACGACGACGTGGTAGCCCCGCTGGCGCCTGCCGTGCCCGGTGCGTCTGCGGTGCCCGTCGTTTCAAGCACGGCGCCGTCCTTGCCGGCATCGCTGATGGTCGGCGAGCGCGAGGGAGACTCCGTCGGGTAGGGAAGCGGCACGTCGCGGGAGGCCTTGCGCGCTGTAACGTTTGCGCAGTGCTCGTTCTCGACGCGGAAGAGGGTCCACATGCCGCGGCGGGAGACCTCTGCAAGGGCGACGAGGAAGGAGACGATCGTGGAGTGCTGAGTGTCGTGGGTGAATATTGCGTAGAAGATCCAGGCCCAGCGGAGGATGGGGTCGACGACGGCGATGAAGTAGTATGGCCACGTCCTCTTGAGGGCTCTGGTTTGACGGAGGACGGGCCATTTGCTGGGCTTCTCGTCGGGCTTCCCGGACTTCTTCTTGGGGTTGGGGTCCAATAAGGAAAAATCCATGAAGATGTCCCAGATTGCTGCGGGTTACTGTTAGTTGCCGTACTGAGAGAACATGAAGGGAAGTACCTACATGTGTAGATGGCGTTGACTGTGGAAAAGGTAATGAACATGGCCAGGTTGCCTCTAGTGTTGTTGATGCGGTACATCGAGAGGGACATTGCAGCGAGGATCGACATTGTGTACTTTCCGCCGTTGATGAGGTGCGGGAAGATGTTGCGAGTGTCTCTGTATCGGCGCAGACATTGGAGAAAGCGCCAGATCGGAGGAAGTGCACCAAGGAAGCCTAGAAGGCGGGAGTGGTTCGAGTTGCACTGGACTGGATTGTCCCATGCGTTGGCGTAGACGCAGAAGAACAGCTCAACGTTCTGTGAAGGGTCAGATTTGCGACGGTAGGGAGGCATCGAAGTACACTCACACACATGGCGTAGGTCAGAGAGCAGTATATGTCGCCGAGGAAGAAGTCTCGGAACTCGACTGGGTAGAGACCAGCAAGCAAGAGGCGCCACTGTCGAGTGTCGTTAGATGGCTCAATACAATCATTACACATTTGCTGACTTACATGAGAATATGCGAACCATTTTCGACTCCTAGCCTTGAGGACGGGGAGGGGAAGGAAAATGATCAGGGCCGACACGAAGATGAGAGCAACCGGATAGTACTCGTACACCTCGTCCGAACCATAGGAGCTGAAGTTGAGCCATAGGAAGAGGCCGAAAATGAACGTAAACAAGCTGGGAAACTCGGCTAGTTGTCGCCAGTCGAGATTGTTCCTTGTGTCGAATTCAAAGATGAAAGGATAGTTGATCTTGTTCCTGGTCCATATGGCACAGTTGATGCAAAACATACAGAACAGCAGGAGCATGAAAAAGTAACCGCCGTAGATCTGCAACAGATAGCTCGTCTGCTCGCGGACGTGGGCGTCATGGTCCCACAGGAGCTGAACGCCCAAGATGGCGCCTTGGATGCCAAATACGGCACCAGTACCGAGGAGAATACCGCACCTAAAGGCGCTGCCAGACTCATCTCTGGGCTTACGAGCCAT